TGTAAACTATGTATTTTATATTATGTATAAATGTCTATGTTGATAAATATCATTTGATACATAATATACAAAATAGCTTGTTTTTTTGATTAGCCGTTATGACTAAATTTTGTGGCCGTTATTTCTAATTTTTTTGGGCCTTTATAAACAATCTGTTTGGCCGTTATGACCAAATTGGGGTCGGTTTGACCCAAACTGTTTTTGGTCGTTATGGCTTAGGCCGTTATGACCACATCCCCTCGCTACTCCCTGTGTGACTTATAGCTGGAGATTTTAATTTTCTTTCTCTATACGAAACGCCTGTAGCATGTTGGGTGAAGTCCTGCATCTTCTGGCGCATCGACAAATTCTTTCTTGATTATATCACTTGAAGTCGCCTGTTCAGCGATCCAATTCCCTCGCCCATCAAGTTCTAGAAATTCTTGGGCACATTCACGGAATTTATTCCAACGAGCTTTAGTAAATGGTTGTTCTCGAACTGACAGTTCTCACTATAATAGTTAACTAGATAATGGAAAGGGAATTTACTGAAAATTTCAGTCAAATTGATCCACTCTGAACCGATAATTTAATGATTGAATTTTCGGCCTAGCCTCGATCATCATTACTAATGTCGGTACAAAAAACCCAAAACATAGTCTCGATTATCTATTTCGTGATTTAATCATGAATGAAAGTTGATCAGCAAATCGGATCCTAATCCAATAAATATCACAGGCTATCGATGACATCGAGAGTTGAGTATGGTCTGGATAAGTTAATTAATGTCTAATTAATAATTTAGATAACATTTCAGGCCTAAAGAAAGATCTGCAATAAGCAGATTTTGCTCTTGCATAATGTATGTTTAATCCTTTGTAATGAACAGCGTAAATTTGACGAGGTATCAGTCGATTCATGTTCTTTTATGGGCGGAGTCATTACATGTGTGTTGTTACAACTTTCTAGGCGAGGTCAGCAGGTCACCATACGAGCTTCTGATTGGTCCTTGGTGACCACCATCACCAGTTATTTCCCTACGCTTTCTAACAGCGCGAGTTAAATAAATCCCGTACGAATACATCTATTGCACTCTTTACTGCGCTGCCGGTGCTTGGAACACCCGTAAATTTTCTTTAAAACATGCTCATCTATTTTATTATGGTCGCAGATTGTAGTAGGTAGGACCATGTAGCGGAATTGCACGCTAGAAATTTTGGCTGCAGACCTAAGTACTTTTCTAGTATGATTGGGCGTCTCTACTTTCCATATAAACCAAATTTGCCATACTTTTATTTGAAATAACGGTATACAGACAACTCACCCTAAAGACAAGTCATCCCAATATAAGAAGTTATCCCAAGTTAGAAGACAACTCATCCCAAGTTAGAAGACAACTCATCCCAAACTTTAAAACGCTGATCGAGATATAACTTTGAAAAACAAACTCACCCCAACAAATACATGTGCTAGTTATATTTGTTTTAATACAATTTCTTTCTTTGAAGACCACTCAGACCAATCTGATTTTGTTATAAAAATGTGTTATTTTAATAAAATTGATATTGTTGTTTTAATCAGTTTTTTATTGTTGTTTTAATCAAATTGTTGTGGTATTTATTTGCGATCTTCGAAACTTGAGCCGATTGGTATTATTTCTCGACCCGTGTATTAAACCAAACAAAAATTATTTTGGGATGAGTGTTTATTGAAAGTTGGGATGAGTTGTCTTTTATCTTGGGGTGAGTTGTCTTTTATCTTGGAATGAGTTGTCTTCTAACTTGGGATGAGTTGTCAGGTATCCGAAATAACTACCCTATCAATACTTTCGTGAGAATGTATCTTTAACAAACAAGGAAAGTTTTTATCTTCATTTTATAATATTTTTATTATTTTTTTTCGGAAAAATGCAAGCTGTTTATATATTATTTATAAGACTTTAAAACTTTGCGCACTTGCAGGCCTGACAAAGTATCGGGTGCTAATGAACTAATATTTTTATCCCAGATTGTTGCGAAGAGAGAGAGAGACATCCACTCGACCCAAACCAGGATAATTCGGGACTATCATGTGACTAAATTTTATTTCAGTAATTCGCTTGCGCGTAGGGGTCTTCTGCTGCGGGATGAAACCGGGGGGCCAGAAGAAAACAACAAGCATCAGATTATGTGCGTGTCAATATCAGTGTTATGAATATTTGATTTATAGATACTTGAATACGTACGTAAAAATGGTTATGCACATGTACCAATTCCATCTAATCCATTCAAGATTATTCCAGATATATTCACTCAAGTAGCCAGTGCTGCCCTACCCAAGAAATGTAGTTGGTTGAATTAACTGCTCCCAATATTCCTGAAGCAATGGCCCGAGATATCCCCCTCTGGCCATTGCTGGATTTACTTTTGATACTTGAGCTTTTGAGGGAATGTGTCTATTCTTCCCGTTCAATCAAAGCTCTCCTAAGTATAACAATATGACAGCCCCTGTTTAATCTGGGGTCTTCCCTAAAACGGTGAAAGTATTGTTCGTCACCAAACAGTATTGTTTACATTATAGCTGTTTTGATAGCCTCGTTTTTCACGCCATTAGTTTTTCTGCAATATTCTGCTATGCACTGGTTAATTGGGTATTATACATTTCGTGGGTCATGATGTAACGTTATGTAAACATATTTGGAGCTCTGTTTAAACCCGAATGATATTGACCAGTCATAATTTGGAACATAAATTTGCTTTCATTTTGAATGGGATTGAGTGGGATTAGGTCTAATGAAACGGAACACTGCGAGGAGTATGGCTGTTCCCACGCGGGTATTGCAACAACGAAACATACTTCTACAGCAGCCAAGTCGTCTGAACAATCCAGGATGTCACAGTGGCTCAGTGAGTAAGACGTTGGCTCTGTTGGCAAAGAACGTCATCGTGATTTTCCGACGAGGTTCCCCCCTTGTCAGTGGTGTGGAATGGGGGGCCTGGGAAGGTACAATATTTAGTCGTCCGTGACGCCATGACATAACTCAGAGACATTCGTACTGATTGCACTGAGATGAAAGCAGGGGTCATCATTTTATTTGTCTTGGAATATGCAAAACAATATACGTTTAATTTAATTTTTTTTTTAAACGACAACTTGCCATTATTTTGATTAATTCATTTTTAATTGCTATTCTGAAAGAAAACAGAAAATAAATTAGGCACAAGAGACATAATTTTAAAGTCTTTAAACACCTAAAGAAATGGCTGGTAAAATAATAATTGTGAAAAATAAATATACATAAAAATACATTGAAAAGTCGAATCACGATTCTAACGACTTCCTTATTATTAAGAAAGTTAACAAACCGGTTTTTAAGTAGCAATTTTAGAAAAAACCGCGTTAATGAAGACGGACTTGCGCCATGCTATATGCTAAGAGGACAGTGGTGTCTGGACAGCGGTGTTTCCGTTCAGGGTTAACGAAGATGGGTCTACGTCATGCTATATGCTATGAGGAAAGTTGTGCTTGGACAGCGGTGTTTCCGACCAAGGTTAAAGAACACGTGCCTACGCCAGGCAGTATGGTGTTGGAGGAATTTTTCCTGGACAGCGGTGTTTCCGTTCAGGCTTAAAGGAGGAGGCCATAAGACAAGTAGTATGGTGTAGTATGTCCTACTGCTGACGGCAAAATATACAGCCCAGGGGAATGTTGCACGCCAAAATATACAGCCCGGTGGATTGCATGACTTCGAAAAGGAATTGGGGTATAATGTTCTGTTGTTGCAGCCAAAATATACAGCCAGGGGAAATGTATAATGTCCTGTTGTTGCAGCCAAAATATACAGCCCGGGAAAATGTATAATGTCCTGTTGTTGCAGCCAAAATATACAGCCCAGGGAAATGTATAATGTCCTGTTGTTGCAGCCAAAATATACAGCCCAGGGAAATGTATAATGTCCTGTTGTTGCAGCCAAAATATACAACCAGAGATCAATATAACCCGACGACGCCCTTTGCACAAAGTCATCCCTCTTAATCCAAAACAAGAAATATTATCTCCTAATTGCCATCGCCCGTCAAATTTAATTAAACCGAGCATGCGCCGTGTGGTTTTGCTGAGGGACATTTTATCCGGACAGGGTTAGTCAAAGGTAAAGATATAAACAGGGCTAGCACTAATCTCTACCCTAACCCACAATCTATCCAACAATCAGGTGCCCTAACCTTATTTACATCTCAGCGACCTTTACAAAAATTAAGCTGGACTTAAACAGGTTTAGCCTCCGGACGGGCGTGCAACAACCTACTACTATTATTTCGAATTCTAACTACTGTCCGACCTTTAACCTACTTACAACTAACTGTACCGAATCCCGATCCCATCCCGAAAAAGAAAACAGTCTGCGAAATTCCAAGGAACTTTGCTAACCAACAACAGGATCGACCCGTGAGCTCTGAAAATTCCCGGGGGCTCCAAAAAGTCCCGGGATCGATCCCGGTGTTGGGGGAGAAGCACACCGGGGTTTGTTTAGCATGGTTTCTCTCGGTCATTGGTGCAGGACCGTGCGGAGGGGTGCGGAGCGGAGCTGGGAGGGGCGCGGGGCGGGGGTGGAGGGGTGGCTGACAAGAAACAACGTATAGTCGATTCAACACATTTCATTTAGAAATAGGAAATGTGCATAGTCAAATTGAAAACCATCTCTTTTATCAACTGGCGAAGATCTTCAAAGTGCTAAAGCCGTTTTAATCATAACAGAAATGAAATGGGGTTTAACGTCCTACTGTTCTGCTCCTATACTGGACTAATGAAGACGGGCATACGCCATACAGTGTGCTATGAGGGAAATTTTTGCACGGGCAGCGGCACTATCGCCTACTCTTATATCGAATTCCAACTGCCAAGGGATCTTTTACGTGCATTCCAATGTATACACGGGACCTCGGTTTTTCGTCTCATCTGAAGGACTAGACAGCTCTCCTTGTCCTGCATCACTGACAAGGATGGAACCATAATCATAACAGATAAACTATGGGTATGGATATCACTATTTAATATTTTATCCCAGTTACTAAGCATGACGTAAATCGGGACACGATCCCCATACTACTGGTTGTTGTCCATGATATCGCCTTCCGGTATCCGAATCTCGCCACCAATAAGGGCGCAGTTCATGGTAAGGAGGTGGTCCACTAACAAGTGTGTTCTTTTCGTAAAACGGGTTGGTCTGCCAATCAGACGGAAACGATTTTCTGAAAGATCGCGTTGATTGTTGCCATGACGGTTGACGGTACGATCGTCGGAAGGAAGTTGGTTCTGATTTCTCGAACGGTACATTCCATTGTATAGATGGACGTCGTCTGCCACTAGTTCTAACACTTTCTCGTCTTTTAAAAGAACCCAAACTATTCAAATCTGAAAGAACAAAGGTATTACAAATACGTTCGGAAACGAGTACACGCGTCTATATCGGGGTTTCCAAAGGGAAATCAGTATCGACAATACCGCGGAAGTGCAATTTAATTCAAGTATACATTCTATGCGATAATGATACAAAGCTTTACTAGAATTAGTCTCGGTCACCCAGAAGCTCCTAGTGTTCAACGAACGAATGGGGTAGTTCTGTTGTCAACATTTGACAAAAAGTTCCATTGCCCATGCGTAACCGGGAGATGGATTTGTATGCGGTTGATTACCCAGTAAATTTCGCCAAGTCAAGTAAGAGTTCCGCCAATTCCCGAATTGAATCCCATAATTCATGCATTATTATAAAGAAACATGAATGGTGACGACGAATTAGGATTAATTTTAAAAAACCCATAGATATGGTACACGAAGAGAAAAATTTTAAAATAACAAAAAAATTGTATATTCAACTGGCAACGCAAATGGATTTTCTGAAATGGCACTTCCCGAATTGAATCCCATAATTCATGCATTATTATAAAGAAACATGAATGGTGACGACGAATTAGGATTAATTAAAAAAAAAAAACATAGATATGGTCCACGAAGAGAAAAATTTTAAAATAACAAAAAAATTGTATATTCAACTGGCAACGCAAATGGATTTTCTGAAATGGCAATTCTTAAATTAATTTCATGGGCGTTTTTTAGCGCTAGTTTCCTCCCTTAGATTTTGTTTATGATAATGTAAAGCCCGGATAAACTAGTCAATGACCTATTATTCTCGACCCTGGATGATAGAGACTAAATTAGAATGAGAGAGAGAGAGAGAGAGAGAGAGAGAGAGATGGGGTTTAACGTCCACTCGACACAGACTATGTCATTTCGGGACTAACATATGGTGGTTTAATTTTATTTCAATAATTCGCCTGCGCGTAGGAGTCTTAGCAGTGAAGAGGAAACCGGAGGACCCGGAGAAAATACACGTGGTTGGACAGGCAAACTTTCTCCTTGTCACGTACAACCGGGGATTGGAAACCACGCCAGTTGACTCAAAGACACGCCTTGTGATACAGCGCGCACGTGCTAACCATTCGACCATCCAACCCCCGACTATATTAGACTGTAATGGGAACATGTAAATAATGTATGTGGGAACTCACCATTATCTGTATCAGTGAGTGGAGATGTAAATATATTATAGGCTATTTCCTTGTGATACGTGTCTAAACCTACAAAAATAAAACCCAAATATTATGTATCTGATCATGTGACGGGTAGAGATTTGCTCTTTTGTCGAATTCCAGCTGTCGAGGGTTCGTTTACGGGCATGCTAAACGTTACATGGGTAACTGCTCTATCCGAGCTCGAAAAAGCCCAAAGGTTCTCATTTGCCCTCACCGGGGGTTCGAATTTAGTACTAAGACGAAGGATAAGTATACTAACCTTTAGTTTCTCTGTCAAACGATACCCGGAATACTCCTAAAGCCTGCATGAAGCCGAACAATAAGGCGAATGGTACCCCAGCCCATACTACTATACTGCACCCACCAGCCACATTCCATGCAATTGTCTGAAAATATATATTTACATTTCTTTATCACCCAATAAGACATACTACAGTAGATATCGCTTGTGTGATATAGCATTCATATTCTGCTGAGCATAGGAGATATCGCTTTACATGAATTTGAAACCCATACCAAAGAATTATATTTATTTATTTGTGCGTGATGAATAAAATCTTCGGCTCGCCATTTTTGATATAAAAAAAATCAACACTCGTCGATCAACAAAAAAAAAAAAAGAAAAAAAAAAAAAAACAAACCCGCAAAAAATAATTATCGACTTGTGCTGATATTTTTTGATATAAAAAACGAGTCGTAGGTGAATCTCTATTTAATACATAGATTTGGGTCAACACGTTATACTTCGACCATAGACCTGCATTCCAAAGGTTACAGTGCAATGCGTCGGGCTGAATTTTGTCCGATCTGCCAAGGGTCGTTCGGATGGGATGAAAACCCAAAGACCCGTGTACATATTGGCGCGCACGTAAAAGATCCATTGGCAATTGGAATTCGATATAAAAGTAAGCCATAGCGCCGCTGTCCGGGCAAAATTTCCCTCATAGCACACTGTAGGCGTATGTCCGTCTTCAGTAGGCCAGTCGGACAGAGGACTTCGGGGGTTTCTTTGTATTGAAATGAAAAGGGGTTTAACTCCCTACTGTTCTGCTCCGACTGGGATAATGAAGGCGGGCATACGCCATACAGTGTGCTATGAGGAAAATTGTGCCTACAGGCTACTCTTATATCAAATTCCAACTGTAAAGAGATCTTTTACGTGCACGTCAATGTGTACACGGGACCTCGGTTTTTCGTCCATCCGAACGACTTGACAGCTGTCCTTGTCCGGCCCTCCGTCCTGTACCACTGACAAGAGGAAACCAGGCTGGAAAATTCCGATAAACGTTCTCGCCCAACACCGAGAACGAACCCTCGACCTCCAGACTAGCGAACCAACGTCTTACTCTTTGTATTCGAACGACTAGTCACACTGTCCTTGTCAGCCGGACAAGCACGAACCGGGCTTGATAAATCCTAAAGTTTATCTCGGCCCGCGCCGGGATGTGAACCCGGGATATTCTATTCTAGACAACAGTGGCCCGGAATATTTCATATAAGCATGGCCAGTAAGTGAATTATGCCAGATTGAACAGTTCAATGGCAAAAGAAGACTTCCGTGATTTGGGTATAATTCAGTCAATTTGATACCAAATAAAATCTACTGAAATGTAGTTTAACCTCCTTATTGTCTGTACTAAATCTGACTGATGAAGTCGCGATGGGATCTTTAATGTGTTGCTAATGGTAATGCACTGGTCCTCGGTTACTCACCCGATCTGAAAGACAAGACACGGTTCCGTGCTAGACCCTTAACCCCACTGCACCGGTCCTGCACTACTGACAAAGGGAAGCGACGCTGGATACTCCCGAGGAATGTTCTCGGTCAAAACCGGGTTCAAAGTCTTGACCTCCTGTATTGTGTGTCAGCGCTATGCTCGCCCAGCGATATCCCTTGTATACTAGCTTGTTGGCTATTACCGGGTGTCGATTAAATAACAACAAATAATATATTACTCCAATAGTGTCAGACGTTATTAATAAATTGTTTTAAACTCACCTCTAGGATATGATCTCCTGTAGTAACAAATTGTCTTAAACTCATCTATAGGGTATGATGTACTGTAGTAAACAAATTGTCTTAAACTCACCTCTAAGGTATGATAAACTGTAGTAACAAATTGTATCCTGCAGTAACAAACTGTTTTGATCTCAACTCTAGGGTATGATGTCCTGTAGTAACAAATTGTCTTAAAACTCACATGCAGTAAATAATTGTTTAAAACTCGCCTCTAGGATATGATATCCTGTAGTAAAAAAACTGTCTTAAACTCACCTGTAGAATATGATATCCTGTAGTAATAAATTGTTTTAAACTCACCTCTAGGGTATAAGATCCTGGGTTATATATAAAACCGGAAGTGCCAAATACCGGTGCACAGATGAGACCCCATAAACCACAACCAAGGTGAACTGTAATTACAATTAATTTTCACAATAATGACGGATTATCACACACATATTATTTAAATTGGAACAGTTTTCTAGCGGGTTAACGGCCCACTTTTCTGCACCAACCGGGATAATATAGACGGGTATACACCACCGGCCTAAAGCGGGCATACTCTTCGTCGCATTCCTTACAGGTGCGTGAATGTCAACGCCAATGTGTACATGGGAGTTCGGTTTTGTCGCCCCCATCCGATCGACTATGAGCTGTTCCTTGTCAGGTTCATCTTGCTACAGTACTAACAAGGGAAACACACTGAAACATGCAATGACCCTTTTCTCGACCAAAAAACTGGATGGAACCCGCTGGACCTTGTGGTTTGTGAGTTTAAGCCCAACTCAATGAGCCACTGCCGTTCTCTCGAAACCGAATGAATGGAATGGAATGGGGTTTAACGTTCTACTGTTCTGCTCCGAACTGGGCTAATGAAGATGGGCATACGCCATACAGTGTGCTATGAGGGAAATTTTGCACCGCCAGAGGCACTACGGCCTACTCTTATATCGAATTCCAACTATAAAGGGATTTTTTACGTGCACGCCAATGTGTACACGGGGCCTCGGTTTTTCGTCCAATCCGAACTACTAGACAGCTGTCCTTGTCAGGCCCTCCGTCGTGCATCACTGACAAGGGGGAACCACGCCGGAAATTCTAGATGAACTTTTTCGGTCAATGCAGGGATCGAACACCCGACCTCCCGACTAGCTCTCGAAACCACGAAGCAGCTTGAATCGATGATATAGCTGCGTAACTTACCAGCAGCGACATCTAGTGGATCATCTGCCTGACAGGATCTGATCAACAGACTCCACGTTATATAAACAAATCCACTGACGAGACCATTAACACAAGCAGTCCAACTATAATAGTCATTACAACCACCTGCTGATGATGCCTGGAAAACAAAACGCGCATGCTTAACAGTTTATCTACTTCCAGGTCATATGTGTGGTCACATGCCACGACTGATTTCCCTGTTGACTTTATTAATGTTTTAAAATTCTCTTCTCTTTCACCGGTTATAACCTCTAAACTTCGAATTAGCATATAAGTAATGACCCGTCGCACAGTTTTACTTAAGTAACCTCTTAACTCCGCCCCCCCACCCGACACCCCCGTTTCACAATCATGAATAGTCATCAAAACCAGATCGGAAATTTAAATACCAATACAATACTTATCTTTGATTTTAACCCACAAATCATCATGCTAAATTGAGGGAAGGCGAAGAAGGGCTGTGAGTAAGAAATTGCATGCTCACTTAGACAAACGAGAAGATTTATAAATGAAATGAAATGGGGTTTAACGTTCTTTTGTTCTGTTCCGACTGGGCTAATGAAGACGGAGGAGAAAGAATAAGCGGTGGGCGTTCGGCTCGTAAACATATGCATGGGAACTAGAGAATCGGATAAGGAGCCGAATCAAACAGCTATTATCAACTCACGCTAGCAGTTTATTACTGGGTCGTGGAACACGCGAATTCCACAAGAGTCAACCGGAAATAAACCATTCCCGACGTCAAAAAGTATGGCGTATATATTAACACGACGGCAATCTATCACTTATATCGTTGTTGCCACGTGGTAATATATAACCGATGATCTAAATACCCAATAAATTGCCTAATTTGAAGTTCATATTTTTTTCTGGTCGAAGTTCTCCAATCCCCGTAGCTACATCGAAGTCAAATTACCACCGTCCGACTTCATTCAAAGTAGGTTATCCAGTTTATCTGGGGGTAAGTTCATTGGTTCAAGTATATGAGATGGCCGGTTTATAGGACGTGTACTCACCACACCAGCTATAGCTGAGTTAATTCCTGTTAGTAACTGCCACCAGTCATGTCTACCTTTCATCTTAAACATAACAAACATAACAGAGTACGAATTATTTAGTTTAACAGCTAACAAATGTAACAGGGTACGAATTATTTAAATATAGCTGGTTACGAATTATTCTAACATTGACAGCTAAAAAAAAATAACGGTGTACTAAATTTTGAAACATAACAAATACAGCTTGGTACGAAGTATTTAAACATAACAAATACAGCTTGGTACGAATTATTTAAACATAACAAATACAGCAGGGTACGAATTGTTTAAACATAACAAATATAGAATGGTACGAATTATTTCAAGATAGCAAGGTACGAATTATTTCAAAATAGCAAGGTACGAATTATTTAAACATAGCAGGTAGGGCAACGAATTATTTAATCATAACTGGCCAGGGTAAAGTAACATACGCCGATCAGCAGCTTAGGTGTTTGTGCTGTACACGATTCATCTCGGCACAAAATAGTGGATATTGGTCAAGAAACAACTAAAATCTATAGAATGGGTAGAATATGGTGATAGGCCTCCGCAACAATCTTAAGTCCGGCAAAGAAAACTGAAACAAACAAATCAACTTAACAACAGTACTAACACTTCTGAAAATTTGATGAAAACCTGTTAAGAACTGAATACTGTAGAGTGAATACAATTTTTGTAATATATGTTTCTATCAACAATAGTGTCCGTCAGGGGCAATAACTCTGGGATTACTTTTGCGAAAACATTCAAAATCGACCAAGACCAACTTGGCGTACCTCAATACTAGTAATTCTTGGAAGTTTGACGAGAAGTCGGTCAATCTATAATCCCATCAATCAGGGTAAGTAACTCTGGAACCACTTTTGTGATAACGGTCAAATTCTATTATTGTTATCAGTGGGCAGAGATGGCTGTGTTAATCAACGGGCTGAGCCAACAAAATTCAGCAATATTTACATTTTTTCTGTTTTTCTGTTTACAAGGATAGGATAGGATAGGATGAGTAAGTAAATAAAACTGGAAAAAAAGTAGACAATTCTATTAATAATACTGCTAACTTACAGCACAGCAGGCAATACCACAATAATCAACGAGCGCTGCCACCAGACAGGCGGTGAGTGAAGAGAAACTACAGGATATTAAAGTATTTATAATGATGGACAGTCCTTTATCAACTGTTTTAGATCCTTGATACTGAAACACGGCCATAAGTCGTAGTGATAGAAACCCAATCAAAATTAAAATACCACCCAAAAATAAAAACTGAAAAATACAAATTACAAAACAATGTCAGGTATGTAAAGGGGGGGGGGGGCCAAATTAGGTCATTTCCGGACTAACATATGGTTCAATTTTATTTCAAAGGGGTCTACTGCTGTGGGAGAAAACCCACGAGGCTGGACAGGCCACCCTACTCCTTGTCACGTAGAAGCGGGGAAAAGAAACCACATCACTTAACTGAATGACAGAACTTGTGATGTAACACACAGGCGTTAAACCATTTTAAGGGCGGAGGCTTTATTAAAAGACTATATAATGACCCCATAATATATAATAAAAATAAAAAAAAGAAACCGTAACTTTGTTTTCATATTTCAAAATGAAACATAGCTTACATGTAGACTAAAATTAAAATAGATTTTTCTTACATTTTCTGATAACAAAATTCTTGATAATGTCATTCAACTTGAGATAAAAAGGATTAAAATATTCAGAACTGGAAAAAAAACCTATTTGGTTGATTCCAGAAGGCGTAGATGGTCACCTCGGGTCAATATTCAAAAACGTCTTGTAATCAATCTTACCGGTTTCGAGTGACCATGAAATGTTTTCGGTGATCTGGAAAATTGGTCTCCTTTAAACCGACTAGTTCTAGGTTGTAATATCGCACACCCCAGTATACCGATTATGCCAGCATAAACATGTATTACACCACTACCTGCAAAATCCTTACAGAATAATACATTATTAGCATTATGTAAAGTACAGAGAGAGAGAGAGAGAGAGGAGAGAGGAGAGAGAGAGAGAGAGAGAGAGAAATGGGGTTTAACGTCCACTCGACACAACAAGGTCATTTCGGGACTAACATATGGTTTAATTTTATTTCAATAATTCGCTTGCGCATAGGGGTCTTTAGCAGTGGGAGGAAACCGGAGGACCCGGAGAAAACCCACGAGGTTGGACAGGCGACCCTACTCCTTGTCACGTACAACCGGGAATTCGAAACCACGCCAGTAGACTCAATGACAGACTTTATGATACAGCGCGCGCACGCTAACCATTCAGCCATCCAACCCCCCATGTAAAGTACAGAATAGCAAGTAATAACAATGCTTTCGGCATAGAATAATAAATTCCCAAAATTATGTATAATACGTAATAACAAATTATAAACACATTCTATGAATTAAAAAATAACAAATATTACATATATTATGTATACTACATAATAACTACATATAAACAGTATATATACTACATGATTACATTATGAATAAAAAAATAAATGAATTAAAGAATAACAAATTATAATATAGTGTGAATAAAATAATCAATTAACAATTAATGTATAACAATTAAAAAATAACAAAATATAACATTGTGTGAACTAAAGAATACAAAAATTATAACATTAAGTGAATAAAATAATAAATTATGATTTAAAGAATAACAAATTATAACATTATGTGAACTAAAGAATAAAAAATTATAACATTAAGTGAATAAAATAATAAATTATGATTTAAAGAATAGCAAGTTATAACATTATGTGAATTAAAGAATAAATCATAAAAAAATATGTGATCAAAATAATTGTAAACATTATGTGAACAGAATAATAAATTATTAATTAATGAATAGAGAGAGAGGGAGTGAGAGAGAGAAATGGGGTTTAACGCCCACTCGACACAAACTAGGTCATTTCGGGGCTAACATATGGTTTAATTTTATTTCAATAATTGGCTTGCGCATAGGGGTCTTTAGCAGTGGGGGGAAACCGGAGGACCCGGAGAAAACCCACGAGGTTAGACAGGCGACCCTACTCCTTGTCACGTACAACCGGGGATTCGAAACCACGCCAGTCGACTCAATGACAGACTTTATGATACAGCGCGCGCACGCTAACCATTCAGCCACCCAACCCCCCGAATTAATGAATAACAAATGATAAACATTATGTGAATTTAAAAATAACAAATAATAACCAATATGTGAATAAATCATAAATATTTGAGATACCATGCTAACAGAATAGTATGGTTCTTTTCATTTCAATAGTTTTATGTGCCTTCAAAGTGGATAATCTGATTAAATTTAGCGAACGTGAGAAATTAAATTAAACAAAATAATTTACCTTATAAACAACTCCTTTCAGGTGATTTAACAACCAACCTTCAGGGTGCCAGCACCAGTGTATTACTACAGGTTGGCAAAATGCTGAAAACATTCAAATAGTTCTTCATTTGTACATGTAAAATTATTATGCTACTAGTAGGATACCCGGTTTCTCCCGGGGCCCAATTTAGTCCTGGGCCCCATGTCGCCAAGGGCCCAAATTCGCCCCCGGTGCCCAAATTCGCCAGGGGTCATTCACGGCGTCATGCTGGTGAATTTGATACCACATATATACAGCATAAAGAAATCATGACTTATTTTAATTTTATCTGTCTGGTGTCCTTTTACGTGTACACCAAGTGCACATATAGTTCTTCGGGTTTTCGTCCCATCCGAACGACTAGAAATTGATCCCTGTCACCCCAATTTGATCGTGAGTATTAAATAGTCTTGAAATACTGGCCATGATAGAGATTTTTTGACTCATCTCCAGGCCATGATAGAGATCAACAATTCAACGAAATTATTGGGATAGACTGGTCTTTACCACCTCTAGTTGACCGAGGGTATTAAATAGTCTTAAAATACTGGCCACGATAAAATTTCTTTTAAAAAACAACAATGATTTATTTCATTTGAAAATGATTTGGTGAACACGCTAGGCCTATGTTGACTCCTCTCTAGGCCACGATAGAGATCCACAATTCAATGAAATAGTTGGGATACTTCATGATGTTTGTAGATGGATTTATCCTAAAACATGGATTATTAATTCTTTTGCATTTACTTCATTTTAAATTATTTGCTTACATCGTTTTTAATTTTAACATTGACCGCTCTAGATTTAGGATTCTAGAAGATGTATTAACTGCACTTACCTACCGAGAAAAATGTAAAAATAAAGAATGACTTGAAAGTCGCTCGCTCCACTAAAGATGTCGCTATGATATTGGTCGTTGTCGTGCAAACTGCAAGGCCAAATAACCAAGTAGAGTAATTTCCCTTGTCTACATCTAACCCAACCCAGTAACTATGGTAACCAAGAAAATCCATACCAGTGGAATAGGCAAAGGCGTGTCCCAAAGCCCAATATACGATACATACTTCAACTGAAAGAGACGTACACATAATATATTTGGAGGCAGACCACAAACTGTTCTCGAATTTAATGTTCAGGGCTTCAATAATGTACTGCTTGTCTTTATCGGACCACCAACCAAAATAAAATAAAATAAAGTAAAAACATAAAAAGATAATAAAATAAAATAAAATAATAATAAAAAAAAAAAAATAAAAAAAATAAAATAAAAAAATAAATAAAATAAAATAATTAAATTAAGTTAAATTAAGATTATCAGTTTGGCTTACAGAAAATAGTGTAGGTTCTTGCTAAAATAGTATATATGTTTCTACTTCTACTGATACCACATTCAAATAAAGCTAACCCAGCTTGCATCACTGTAATAGATAAGAGAATAAACTAGATAACAATATATATAGCTCATCACTAACAGATAGCACATAATATAGCTAATTCCGGTTACATCACTAACAGACGCCACAGAATATAGCTAATCTAGATTCAATCATTAACAGATAGCATAGAATATAGCTAATGTAGATTACATCACTGACATATAGCACAGAGCATAGAATATAGCTAATGTAGATTACATCACTGACATATAGCACAGAATATAGTTAATCTAGATTACATCACGAACATATACCGGGTGATCCAGCTGCTAAAGATCCCTACGCGCAAGCGAATTGTTGAAATAAAATTGAACCATATGTTAGTTCCCAAATTGATTCAGTTTTTTTCGAGTAGACGTGGAAATTCAAAAGAGGGTTAATCATCTCCTATCCCAATTATCCAAAACAAGTCTTAAAAAAATCTATTAAAGACTGCAGTCTCTATTACATGCCTAGTGCTTTTAGAAAAGGGGGCTGGGGGATCCGGAACGGACCGCAATGCTTTACACCGAATCGGAAGAAAGCCCGTTGAAAATTGTAATGGAACGTTGAATAAAACGTGGAACCTTTAAATAATGGATTGAATTGCGCTGACACACTGCGATAAGAAGATTATACATATCAATTACAATATAGAGTTTAATATCTTTATCAATTAATGATTGCGAAATAGGTCACAAGACTCCTGATTAAAGCGATAATTTCATATTTTCTAAGAAAGTCAAAACATAATTATTTCTATGTCTTTTGCTCAATAGGTTACCAACTCACTATTATACGACCATGGGCATTATTTCCCACCCTTAAAAATCATTGTCACAGGAAATAATAACACAATTACCTCCCTTGTTTTCCTATTGCCTCCATGCATTAGCTACCTTCAAACGTTGGAATTTGAAGTTGAAAATGATATTTTTGCCAATTTCTCAGCTGGCAATAGTGACTTATAGGATTAATAGGATTATTCTTTAACAAGGTAGGACGGTTTATGGTTACCATCTATTTTAAAGGCTTTATTTTAATAAATTTTAAAAATATAACTTAAAAATATTAAATTGCAGCTTTAAAGAGGAGTTATCTTTTATATTTTGTAGTCTCTATCATTCAGACAAATTTTCTACGAATATTAGTCTGATTGGGATGTCAACATTTAACAATATCCAGTCCTTTACATTATTAAGGGAGGTAACTAGTCCTAAAACAAGAAAATCTTTTTGCATTGCCAGTTCAATATCCAACACTATTAATTTCTTTTATTAAAAAATTTCATTCTTCATGGACCATATGTATGTTTCTTAATTAATCATAATTCGTTGTAAAGTTTCATGTTTGATGCTTGTTTATATAATAATACATGAATTATGAAATTTATTTCCTGAAGGGGCCCAACTCTTACTTGACTTGGCGAAATTTAGTGGATAATCAACCACATAAAAAAACCCAAAAACAAACACCGGGTTACGCAGGGGCAATAGAACTTTTTATCAATTGTTGATAACAGGGGGGGGGGGGGGGATGGGGTTTAACGTCCACTTGACACAAACTAGGTCATATCGGGGCTAACATGGTTCAATTTTGTTTCAATAATTCGCTTAAGGGTAGGGGTCTTTAGCAGTGGGAGGAAGCCGGGGGACACCACGAAGAAAACCCACGCGGTTGGACAGGCGACCATACTCCATGTCACGTACAACCGAGGAATCGAATTCAAAACCACATCAGTTGACTCAATGACATACGACAGACCTCTCCCTGAATTAAATGTAACATAATCAATTTGGGTACATTTTAGCGTTGATTAGTCCGTGAAAATATGATAATTCAAATGACGCACAGAGACTTTAAATTAACATGTTATCGGAGTGTTTATCACAGTGAAATAGACAGTAGTAATTAGGGAGTACACAGTGTATACACTATCCATAGGATATTTACAACAAAATAGATGATTGCGAACGGCTCGATAATGAATAGGGAAGCTACGCAGTAATTATATTCCACAGAACTTTGACCTGTGTATTCCATGTCCAATTACCATTGAAATAACATTGAAACAACGAATGGGTTGCTAGAAGTTCGAGGTTTCGAATCTTACAGTTACTCAACTTTTAGGATTTTGTTTTTATAACACTATCCATAGGATATTTTCAACAAAACAGGTGATCGCGAACGGCTGGAGAGAAGCTACGCTGTACTTATATTCTATAGAACTTTGACCAGTGTATTCCAAGTCCAGTTATCATTAATTGCTAGAAGTTCGAGGTTTCGAGCTTTGATTTTTACAGTTACTCAACTTCCAGGTTTTTGTTTTATGTGATTACATTTATGACTCTGTCATTCACAAAACAACAATGACGTACGTTATAAAGAATATCAAATACATGTATACCAGGCTGATGAGATGTCGACGGTGCCTGGTGTCACTCTTGGGGGAGGAGGTGATACTACTGAACAAAAAAGAGAAAAACCGTATTGCTGATGATGTCGTGCCCGCTTTTATATTTGCTGGAATTTGTGCGGGTTCCATTGGTGCCGTTGTCGGTAGATATTATAATTATGGTATATGTTTTTTTGTCCCTTATGTTGACCCTAGTTCTGTTGCTAGAATCATTGCAAGTGTAGATGAAAAGGTCGAAAAGTTTATGGACTCACTGATTTGGGTATTAATGTTCAAGCATACCCAATGGTTATTATGGAGATATTTTGTCAAGGATCGTCACGAGAGAGATGAATTAATAGAAATGAAGAAGAGGCTGCGTGTACTAAACAGTACTCTTGACGAAGACTTTGGGTGTAGAGATAATCTCAAGTCTTTACTTAATACAGGTTTTCAGGACGGTAGACTAGCTCTAAAAAGCGGGTCTAGAATTGAGCTCGTTTCACTCATTCAACCAGCCATGGATACCAGGAATGAGCCAATAAGTGGGGATTTAAAGGTCAATCCAAACGTGTTAAAGGGTCCGCCAGCTGTTTCACCCATATTAAAAGAGCCACCAGCGGTTAAACACATTTTAAAGAGGCCACCAGCGGTTAAACGCATATTAAAGGGGCCACCAGGGGTTAAACACACATCAGTTACTGAGGCCATATCAAAAGACGCGTCAGATATCGAAGGGGCATTAAAGGGTAATTCCGTTGTTCGGAACGTATTAAAGAGACCATCAACTGTTCGAGACGTATTAAGGGGAACATCAGCTGTGGCAGATGTATTAAAGAATGCATCAGCTATTGATGGAGCTTCAGTGTTAAACAAGACATCATCCGCCATTGAAGTATTAACCGAGGCACCGCCGGCGATTAAAGGATTAATAAACGAGGCACCGTCAGCCATTGAAGGGTTATTAAAGGGTACATCAGCAATGGAAGGAGTATTAAAGGGCGCATCAGCAATGGAAAGGGTATTAAAGGGTGCATCAGCAATGGAAGGAGTATTAAAGGGCCCATCAGCAATGGAAGGAGTGTTAAAGGACGCATCAGCAATGGAAGGGATATTAAAGGGAGCAACAACTTCTTCTACCGAATTAGATATAGCAAAGGATCAATCCGCCATGCTTGATAAATTGTTGTCTCCCGTCAACTTGCCAAACGATGTTTACGAAATTGTTAACAAAATCCCAGATGTTAAGAAAAACGAACTACGTGAACTTTCCAAAGAACTAAAAATGTTAATGGATGTATTCAAGAAAAGTGAACAGACATTGGGTATGGCTTTGGCTGTTTTGTGAAGTTTCTATAAGTTGTGTCTGGTTAATCTATCAAAAGCTGCAATTAAAGTGTAATGATAACCGAAATTAAACCACGTGACGATTAGAAACTGAAACAACACATAGTATTATATTTATAAATAAACACGTTTGTCGAAATAACATATAATAACTTACTTAAAGATCACTTGTATAAAATATCATATGATGACCTACTTAAAGGCAACGTGTATAAAACAGTGTATAATGACTTACTGAAAGGTCACGTGTATAAATTAAAAATATTATTTAATGACTTACTGAAAGGTCACCTGTATAAAATAAAAATATTGTATAGTGACTTACTGACAGGTCACGTGTATAAACTAAGGAAATGACCTACTTAAAAGTCACTTGTGTAAAGTGTAATATAATGACCAATAATGGTCACTTGTATAAAACATAATATAATGGCCAATTATGGTCACTTGTATAAAATGGTATATAATGACCTATTTAAAGGTCACGTGTATTAAATATTATATGACTTACTCAAAACAAACAAGAAGCAGATTACAACAACTATATTTCCTATTTCGTGCACCACACTTTCTGGTACACTGGCGATTGTAACTACCATGTACGCCATAGTTACTCCTGAAACAAAAATAATAAAAAACGAAAGTAGTAACTTCCCAAATCATGGCCTCCCGTGAAAATACCATTTAACACATTGTGCTAAAAGTCGGTAATATGTGACCTCTCCCCACCTCTTATCTTATTATTTATTTTTAAAATATATCCACCAAGCCGGAGAGAATTGTGTGTGTGTGGGGGGGGGGGGGGTGAAAACGGGTTAACCAGAAACGTTTAGCTTTGATCATTGTTTTGGGGGTTTTTTTTGGGGGGGGGGGGGCTACCTGCTTTATCTTTAGAGCGACGAGCGGTAAATGCCTGTAGCATTGCTATTGTTGAACACAGTTGGTCATAAGAATTGTAAAACACTGCGACGGGAGCAGTCTGGGGGCCAATTTGACTTGATGGCAGGCTAACCTGGCTGGACGTACCGTTCGACCGCGGTGTCACTCGAGAAAGTTCAGAAGGATTTTCAGGCGTTGTTCGACCTGGTTCGGATGGTACGAAACTCGAAATTTCTTGTGCATATTGTGCATGTTCAGGAACCGTTGACAGTTGGAATTCGAATGTCGTAGGGCCGCTCTTCGGGTAAAATTTCCATCATAACACAATTCATGGCGCATACCCGTCTTCATTAGCCCAGTTGGTGCAAAAAAGTAGGACATTAAACCCCATTTCATTTCATTTAAACCCAGTGAATCGAGTATAACATTTTTGAAAAGCTAAATGTTTGTTCTTAGATCATGTTATGTTAGGGCTCGCCGAGATGAAAAAAAAATCTAGTCAATTATAAAGTTATGGCAATGTCTTAAAGTCTATCGGGATTTTCCGACGTGTTTTCCCCTTGTCAGTGGTGCAGGATGGAGGGCTGTCTAGTCGTTCGGATGGACTGAAAAACCGAGGAACCGTGTACACATTGACATGCACGTAAAAGATCCCTTGTCAGTTGGAAGAGCAGGTCGTAGAGCCACTTTCCGGGCAAGATTTCCCTCATAACACACTGTGTGACGTATGCCCGTCTTCATTAGCCAAGTCGGAGCAGAACAGTAGGACGTTAAACCCCATTTCATTTCGTTTGGACGTTAAATCCAAGCTCATTTCATTTTAGACGTACGTGTATATAGTGACAGCCATAATATGCACATTATTATTATAATGAACTCCGAAAACAAATGACTGCGCTGGTTATAATGGTATGATCAGAATGTGAACAATATAACAATATAATTCGTTCACAGATTTACCTCTATTTAAATTTTATCTATGCATGTATGACCTAAAACTGAAGTTTAGAGTAGCCCTCAGTAAATTTAGATGCTCGTCACATTCGCTCTGCATAGAAACTGACAGATATTTAAATACACCCAGGAAAGAGAGATTATGTAAATATTGTACACTGAAGACGTTAGAAGATGAATACCATTTTTTGTTAATTTGTCCTGCATATAATGCCTTAAAAGAATTGTATTTACCATCTAAGTATTATACTAGTCCAAATATCTATAAATTTGTCTCTTTGTCTTTGATGTCGTCAACTGATCAAAAACTTATTATATCTACAGCTAAATTTATATATTTCGCTTTTGCTCAACGTACATCATTACCTTCCTAAACTTGAAAGTTAATTTTATTGTATATTTTCTTTTTAATTACACGTTTTTTCATTTTGATTGTATTATTGTATAATTTAAGGCTATAAGTTGTTTAACTTAATGCTATATGTAATAAAGTATTATTATTATTATTATTATAAACAACCACGAACATCAACGTATAAACTTTTGAACACTTGATCAAGTGTTATAGATTTAAAAAAGAGAATATATATTTACCTGATTTATTCAAACTTATCGCCAACTACCACCATTTTGTAAACCATGCGCGTAAGAAAGATAACTCTAACCACGTTATGACAATTGGAAAGAAAGTTTGGGCGAGCCGATTTTAAAAATATATATTTGAAAGTAGGTTTTTGTATTAGATTTATAGATTTATATAGCATACGACACCAGTCACTACGCACGCCCGTCGAGGAAAAATTCATGTTGGGGCAGGGGTGGGAGCTGTCAGCGTAGCGAGCCAAAGTGGGACAATATGACGCCATTGACCCCCCCCACCCACACACACACACACACATGTTCTTCGGTTCCGTTGGCCCTGCTACCTACTTGTTGAACTATTAGTGCATTTATCACACTAACATGGGTTCGATCTCGCTGTAGGCAGAATAAATTACCACGGGAATTTTCCAGCCTGTTTTCGCCAGCTTGTCCAGATGTCTGGAACAAAAGTTTTGACTTGCAGCGGTGGATCAAGGTGAGAGAGAGAAATGGGGTTTAACGTCCACTCGACACAAACTAGGTCATTTCGGGACTAACATATGGTTTAATTTTATTTCAATAATTCGCTTGCGCGTAGGGGTCTTTAGCAGTGGGAGGAAACAGGAGGACCCGGAGAAAACCCACGAGGTTGGACAGGCGACCCTACTCCTTGTGTGGATCAAGGTGCTCCCTTCTCCCTAAATAGCAATATGGAAAATCTCTTATTATTCCGTTTCTGTCAAACGTAAAATTGTGAACATTTTGATGGTCGGACTGATGAAATTGTTTGTTATATTCTTCGCCAGATATACACCATAAATCACCACTGACAACCCGATTTCTCAAAATTTGACCGGAAGAGGTCGGGGGGTGGGGGTGCATATACCCCTCCCCTAACCAAATACTCTGTGTCCGCTGACTTGGATTTTACAAGTTGAAGCTACTGGGTATAATGTATGTAAAATATGTATGTAACGTTAACACCATGAAATGAAATGAAATGAAATGGGGTTTAACGTCCTACTGTTCTGCTCCTAACCTGGGCTAATGAAGACGGGCATACGCCATACAGTGTGCTATGAGGGAAATTTTGCCCGGACAGCGGCACTATTGCCTACTCTTATATCGAATTCCAACTGTCAAAGGATCTTTTACGTGCATACCAATGTATACACAAGACCTCAGTTTTTCGTCCCATCCGAAGGACTAGACAATTTTCCTTGCCAGGCCCTCCGTCATGCACCACTGACACGGGGAAACCACATCGGGCCCAATATTTAAAATACAGTGGACATTTTAAAACCAGTACACAGGTTTGATTGCGGACGTCAGTTGTAATGAACAAAGAAAAACATATCCAAGAAGAGAATGCAGAAGTAATTAGAAATGGCTGTTTCACAAACGACAAAATAATAATTTTTTAACAAACACATTGTAGAATGTACAATGCAAGCGCAAACGAAGGCCGTTTAATTTGGACTGTTCGCGTATTTCACCAAACATAATGGATTAGTAATGACTTTTCTTTTTTAAATTGAATGTAAATCATTTTACACACACTAATATTACATTAACAAGTGCTTTTAGGCCAAATTTCGTCTCTTTTACGGTTCCAGAGAATAGAGCTAAATCTATTTGTCAAGGCCAGCTCAATTTTTGTCATGGTCGCTGAGATGTAAATAAGGATAGGCACGTGATTGTTGGTGAGATTGTAGGTTAGGGTTAGTGTAAGCATTGGGGCTAGGTCCAGGGTTAGGGTTAGGGTTGGGATTAGCGCTAGCCCTGTTTATATATCGTGAATTATGACGAAAAATTGAGTTGGCCTTATCATTTAGCACTAACCAGCTGTACGTCTTTTACTTGATTTATTTTTCCCAACTATACGACCACCACTCACCCAAACTCACTTACAGCGCATGCACGTGCTTCAGTATTTGCTAAGTCGCCGAAGGAGAAGGTGTTATAACACGGTGGAGAGTAAACATGAAGTTTGTAAGTAAACTTTTAATTATTATTATTCGTTGATCAAACGAAAAAAGGCCCTCGCTCAGTCTGGAGATCCGGCGTTTGCCGAATAGGTCCTTGTGATTTTCCAGCGTGGCTTCCCTCCTTGTCATTCGTGGAAGACGGTGGTGATGGGACGAAAAACCGATGTCTGGTGAACACCTCAGCGTGCATATAAAAAGAACCACTGCTCTGGCAAGTTGGAATTCGAGAAGTAGGCGAAAACTCAACGGTTGAGGCAAGAGTTTCCACATAGATCGTGCGCGTTGTATCATATAACATAAGGTCTGTCATTGAGTCAGCTGGCGTGGTTTCGATTTTCCGGTTGTACGTGACAAGGGGTTGTCAGTTGGGTAGCTAGTCCAACCTAGAGGGCTTTCTCCGCCCCCCCCCCCACTGCTAAAGACCCCTACGTGCAAGCGAGTTATTGAAATTAAATTGAACCATACATGTTTGCTAGTCCCGAAATTACCTGGTTTGTGTCGAGTGGACGTTACCCCCCCCCCTCTCTCTCTCACTCTCTCACTCACTCACTCACTCTCACTCTCACACATAGATCTAGCACACAGCATGGGATATACTCCTTCATTTCATTAGACCAGATCAACCCATTCCATGTGTTAATTGTATTACGATATTTTGTTACAGGGTTTGTTGGTCCTGTTATCCTTAACATCTACGGTAAAGGTAAGGTCAATGGCTTCTATATACTAGAATTACATATTTATCCCGGTAAAACTCGCTAGTCTGAGGAGGTCGCGGGTTCGATCCCGGTGTTGGCCGAGTATGTTCATCGGAACTGAGGGCCTGACAAGGACAGTTGTCTAGTTGTTTTTGAATGGGACGAAAGTCCGAGGTCCCGTGTACACATTGGCGTTCACGTAAAAGATCCCTTGACAGTTGGAATTCGATATTAGAGTAGACCGCAGTGCCGCTGTCCGGGCAATATTTCCCTCATAGCACACTGTATGGCCTATGCCTGTCTCCATTATCCCGGTCGGAGCAGAACAGTGGGACGTTAAAACCCCATTTCATTTAAATCGAGATTTTATTAAATATTTATTATGCAAGATTTAAATAAAGAGTTGATCTTTCTTGCTGTAATAGATCAAAAGCAGCTAAAGAAAATTGAATATATTGAAAATGTACGCCAAATAAGTCATACTCGTTTATCAAGTACCTTATTTGCAAAGATATTAAACGATATACCCAGTCACCCTAAGTGGTGGCCATTGTTGGAATGTGCATAAATGTCTAAATAATAATTTATACAACATTTGAAGTTTTTGCATTTTGAGTCGACTGGCGTTGTTTCCAATCCCCGGTTGTACGTGGCAAGGAGTAGGGTCGCCTGTCCAACCTCGTGGGTTTTATCCGGGTCCTCCGGTTTCCTCCCACTGCTAAAGACCCCTACCTAAAGACCCCTACGCGCAAGCGAATTATGTAAATAAAATAAAACCATATGTTAATCCCGAAATGACCTAGTTTGTGTCGAGTGGACTTTAAACCCCATTTCTCTCTCTCTCTATTTTGCATTATGTCTCTTTGAATATATTAATGTACAATTTTGATGTTTGAAATGTTTGTAATTGTAGGTTTATGGAGAAACGTTCGATGTTCCAACCACGGGAGATACTACCATAAGAAGTAGGTTAAAGGTGAAGGGGAGGGGTTGGATTAAGGGATAGACAAGAGACCATGGTAAAGGATTAAATAAGGGGCAGGTTCGGGGATAGAATAAGAGTCAAAGGACGGGGTACGAGACCATCAGAAGTAGGTTAAATGTTAAAGGGGCGGGGGGGGGGGGGGGTAAGGGTTAGACAAGGGGCCATCCAATATTTAAGATAAATGAAAATTTTATAATCAGTTACAAGAGATCGCGTATTCTATGGTTTCGGGCGCTGTTTGGAATGAATGAACCTATTTTAGACCTATTTTCGTTTATTTTAAGGTTCCAAAGAACCGAGCAATACGCCCTTTAATAAAAACTATGACATGAAAATTGATTAGGCTATTTATGCTTTTAGTTGAAAGTGTGTGTGCTAAAGCTGTTACTGGTCTTTCCACCATTACTGTGACGTCAGATCGTGATGTTGATGTAACCATTGTATGTAAGAATAATTTTTTGGCCAAACCACAAGCTACCGACCACGTTCACTACAAACAGGACATCGTCATTAATCGACTTGATAAAGAACCATGTAAATTCAATGTAAGTTTGAGTTTCAACTGTAGGAACCACGGTACCAAACAAGGCAGCTGCTCATTAATCACAATTTCTAAGAGTGCGATCCCCGGTATTAGCCGATAAAGTTCCACGTTGACTAAGTGAGTAAGACGCTGGCTCGCTACCCTGGAGGTCGGGGTGTTCGATCCTAGTGTTGGCCGAGAAAGTTCATCGGGATTTTCCGGCGTGGTTTCCCTTTGTCAGTGTTGCAGGACGGATGGCCTGACAAGGGCAGCTGCCTAGTCATTGGGATGGGACAAAACACGAGGTCCAGTGTACACGTAAAAGATCCCTTGGCAGTTAGTATTCAGTATAAGAGTAGACAGTAGCGTCTCTGTCCGTGTAAAATTTCCCTCATGACACACGGTATGCCCGTCATCATTAGCCCAGCCAGAGCAGAACAGTAGGACTTTAAACTCCATTTCATTTCATTACCTTAAAGTTTTTCATTTTCATCATTCTTTACCGCCTGTCAGTGCTGTAGGATATAATGTAGGGCAAAGAACTGTCTATTCATTCGGATGACACGAAAATAATTTTCCTTGGTGTGCCCATCATCCTTAGCAGGACGTTAAACTCCATTTTCTCTGTATTGTGCGACCACAAATGTCCGGTTCCACCATAGAAAAATACCCGATGATTAGATAGACTATAACATTTCTCGTGCAACCAGGTCCCCCAATAGCATATACATCAAATCACTCTAATTTGACTATTTGTTATAGTTAATAGTAAGCGGCTCGACTAGATCAGAGTCGGTTCGAATCCTGGGGACGGAAACTGTTTGACGCCACGTTAAACCATACCATATGTTAGTCTCAAAATAACAACAATTTGAACTTATTTCCATTATTTTAATAGAAAAAAGACAAGTCTAATGTGTATACCGTAGAAGTCTTCATCGGTGATGTGGACAAGAATGCCGGGGCTTCATTACAGAAAATGAAGCGGGACTTCCTGTTGACGTGTACTTATGATGAAAATGGTAATTCTGTCACCAGTGTTAAAAATATTACTAACGAGTAAGTATAGGTTGAAACTTAGGCTACCTGACTACAGCTAGCTCCGCCTGTATTCTCGAAGTATGACGTAGATGGATCGCTGGGTGCAGTATTTTACCACAGACGAGGCAGCATGTGACTTATGAGAACAATTTACGAGGTTCATCATCATTCTCCCAGGCAGAGTTGTCTTCCCCTTTCCCTTGCCGATCACATTGGATAACTTGACTTGCATTGGGAGAAAGGTTCAACATGGGAATCTTAAGATCGCAAACTGAAAGTAGCGTACTACGATATATGGACCCCCACTACCCACTCAACACATTCTGCACACAGAACTATCTACTCTACTCCCAAAATAGTTCTCTGCCTTAAATGGCTGCCATACCCAACAATTATTATATTTTGCAATGATGCCCTACTCCGGATGACATCTGTTATACACGAAAAGACTAAACCTTTTCAATTTTTTTAAAATGAAAGTAGAATATATAATACTCCTCACAATTCCCGAAATACACTTAGTGTTTTCGACTAAAAAAGTCGATTTAGAAGTTAAAATTTCGGTCAACTTTAGCGTCTGTTTCAAAGTCAATTAATTGTAGATAGATAGCGTAAGTTTAGTATGTATAACTAACCTCTTATCCTTTCGTCCGAAGGTCTGGCCTTGTCAGCGCTGCAGGTTTGCGACACTTGTTTACAGAAGCGTAGCCGTGAAATATATATATGGGGGGGGGGGGCGCAACCCGAACCCCTAACCCTAACCCTTTTTGAAAACCCCTAAAAAATATAAACACACACTATGTGGCCATGCTGTCTACACAACTTGTTTGCTGATTAGCCCAGACACCGCCAACGTAGCTGGTTGAGCGGGCGATAAATATTTGGTTTAGGCGATAATGTTTTTGGGTACCTACATTCGATTCACTCTGATAGTGCCAGAAAAAAAAATAACAAAATATTACTGACAGGCTAACTAGACACAATTTTATGGAACACAGTTACTTTTCACTTCACACATGTTTCCAGGATGATTCTCTTTGTGTTTTATTTTAGCAGTGTAAACCATATTGGGATATGTACAGGTTTTATACAGATAGAATCTTAACGAATCCTAATAATTGTTGTAAATATAGAAGTTATGGCCTACTGTGTAAAATCTTTTTTTTTTGGGGGGGGGGGGGTCCAAGTATATTCAGACCCCCCCCCCCCCCCCAAAAAAAAAAAAATCAATTGGGGGGTCCGACCCCCCGGACCCCCCCCCCCCCCCATGTGCATGTGTGACGCCCATGCTTGTTTATACTAGGCGGGGTATGTTTACTCTTACTAAAACAGCTGGTACCATTTCAAACTTGATCAGTTCACTTGGGTATTTTTGGTGTCCTACTGTTTTTCAGGTCTGTGCCATACGTTGAAATATCTAAAGAGTTTGGCGGAAAAATCAAATCGAACATTTCTCTGCAATTGTCCGAAACCAGCGGAAGAGCTGTGACTAGTCCTGTGCCATTGGGAAAATCACTAAGAATTGTTGCTAGAATTAGCGGTAAGGGGTTATCTATTTTGTGAAAATGAAATGAAATGGGGTTTAACGTCCTACTGTTCTAATCCGACTGAGCTAATGAAGACGGGTATACGCCATACAATGTGCTATGAGGGAAATTTTGGCCTGGCAGTGGCACTATGGCCTACTTTTGTATGGAATTCAAACTGCTGGGGGGTATTTTACGTGCGCGCCAATGTATACATGAGTCTTCGCTTTTTCGTCCCATCCGAACGACTAGACAGGTGTCCTCCTGAACCACTGACAAGGGGTAACCACGCTCAGTTTTGTTGGCAGGCACTTGAAAGAAACCTTGACAGTTGGAATTTGATGAAGAGTGGGCGGAACCGCCGCTTTGTGGGAAAAACTTTCCTCGTATCACACTGTAGGTTGTGCAAGTCTTCACGTGACGGGTCGGTGCAAAAAGAACTAGAATTTTCCTGGTTCATATCCCATCTTGTCCCGAAAAGAAACCCTGTGCTTGATATTTCTGTCGGGTATAGCATTCCATACAAGCAAATCTACGGAGATCACATATTTTTCAAAAACGACCATAATAAGACCAATCTCGATGATTGTTTCTGAAAGTGTTCAGAAGAACGTGAAGCGTACGGGGATTACGTCATTTTGGCCAACAAGGAAAACGTAACAGTGTCTAGCCATTCAAGTAGCCACCCATATTTTCTTTGGTGAACAAAGAAGAATTACGATGAAAAATAGACGATAAGGATGCAAAAATAACCTTAGATAAGAATCGAGAGGTCGAGAGATGAGGGGGCGGGGGGCTTAATTTCATATTAGTGTATAGGATCATCCAGTAACGGCCAGAGGCGATAAGAATCCGTTACTAAAGTAACTAACACGTAGTATACTGCATAATCTATAAACCCATCTTCATTAGGTGGGGGTTGGGTGGCCGACTGGTTAACGCGTGTGCTTCGAAGGTCCGTTATTTGAGTCAAGTGGTGTGGTGTGGATTTCCCGATTGTGCGTGACAAGGAACAGAGTCGCCTGTCTAGCCTCGTGTGTTTTCTCCGGGTCTTCCGATTCCGTTCTACTGCTAAAGATCCCAACACGCCAGCCAATTATAGAAATAAACTGAACTGTTTGTTAGTCCCGAAATGACCAACTTGTGTTTAGTGGACGTTAAAATCTCACTCTGACTCACTCTTTTTCACCCTCACCCCCAGAAATGAATTTTCAAATTCAAAATACCTGTCTTAGTCTCAAAATGACGAGTTGTGTTCACGGGATGTATGATTTATAGTGTTTTATATTTTATATTCAACAGGACAAGAATATGTGAGAGCCATGTCGTGTGTAGCTTCAAACGGTGTTCTTAATCATACCATATTAACAGGCGGGTAAGTTCTTAATCATGCCATATTAACAAGCGGGTAAGTTCTTAATCATGCCATATTAACAATCCCCGGTAAGCTCTAAATCATGCCATATTAACAATCCCCGGTAAGCTCTAAATCATACCATATTAACAATCCCCGATAAGTTCTTAATCATGCCATATTAACGGGCGGGTAAGTTCTTAATCACGCCATATTAACAGGCGGGTAAGTTCTTAATCATGCCATATTAAAAGGGGGGTAAGTTCTTAATCATACCGGGGGGGGGGGGGATGGCTGAATGGTTAGCGTGTGCACGCTGTATCATAAAGTCTGTCATTGAGTCAACTGGCGTGGTTTCGATTCCCAGGTTATACGTGACAAGGAGTAAGGTCGTCTGTCCAACCTCGTGGGTTTCTCCGGGTCCTCCGGTTTTCTCCCACTGCTAAAGACCCCTACGCGCAAGCGTATTATTGAAATAAAATTAAACCATATGTTAGTCAGGAAATGACCTAGTTGGTGTCGAGTGGACGTTAAACCCCATTTCTCTCTCTCTTAATCATACCATATTAACAGGCGGGTAAGTTCTTAATCGTCATATTAACAGGCAGGTAAGTTCTTAATCATACCATATTAACAGGCCGGTAAGTTCTTAGTCATACCATATTAACAGGCCAGTTTAAAAGTACAGTGCTAAAGACCTTCTAAAAATAAATTTCAAATATTCCTATTAGATTTTATATTTTACGCTGACGTGTATTGCATTAAATCTTCCCAGTGCAAAAACGGAAACTTTGACCTTTTCAATCATTTTCAGCATGTTTTCATGATACAAGAATGCTGCGTATTCACTATCAGTATAAATGACCTCATTTGACCCCGTATGTCCCGAAAATACTCAAACGGCTGATTTATTACCACTCGGTGTTACGCAAAAAATACTATAGAACAGTTGGGTCTGGTCTTGTGCCCATTTGACGGACACCCGTGTACACATTGGCGTGCACGTAAAAGATCTCTTGACAGTTGGAATTCGATATAAGAGTAGGCGATAGTGCCGCTGTCCGGGCAAAATGTCCCTCATAGCACACTGTATGGCGTATGCCCGTCTTCATTAGCCCAGTTCGGAGCAGAACAGTAGGACGTTAAACCCCATTTCATTTCAGCTTCAGAGATTTAGGAAAGGATGAGATGTTGCCTCAATCCATTTTGGAATAACTACGTTTGTGTTGTGTTATATTTCAGGTGTGGAGATGGTATTGTGTTTTCTAAGAAATCAGGGTTTAAAACGTTTGGTAAAGTCGTCTATAGCCCCTATTTCTCATCATTTCGACTTCGTGGAAACCCCACGTTGGTGTTCTCCTGTAAATTCTCATCGTGTGATAAAAAACGTTGTGATGGGGTAAGTCTAAAATACACCAATCTGATTAAAACACAGATCCAATTTCGTTTCGTTTTTATAGTTCAAAATTTCGATTTTACTTGTCTTTACTACACTTGGATCTGGAAGCGTTGTTATTTAACTCGTGTTCTGCATGAAATGAGGGGTCAGCCAATCAAATGGTCTGTCGAATCGAGCGTTTGACCTTTTTTGCGCGAAACTGTGGGTAGACATTAGCGGCAATAGAATTCAAAACAAAGCAAAAGTAGATAAAAAATACATGGCGGTCGCTAATTGGTTAATCGAATGACTGATGTAATCGGGTCAATGTCGCTTGCTTGGTACCTGACGTCATAGAACGTGAACTGCCACTATAACTTGTTAGATCTACATGTAGTGTAGGCCATCGAAAGTATAAAAAACGAAACGAAATATAGATCTGTATTTTAATTAGATTGAAAAAACATTTAATCCAGAAGCAAAACCTATTCAATCCGATCAGAATCAGTGGGATATTTTTAAAGGAGGTTGGTTGGGGTGGGGGATGTGTCACGTGTGGGGGTGTCGTGCCATTCAGAGAATAAAAAAAATATACTTAAAAATGAAATTCCCCCACTAGCCCAGACATGTGATAGACTACCAAGACTTTAGAAGAAATGGGACCATTCAGGGCTGCACGGTAGTTAATTCAGGACTGCACGGTAATTAATTCAGGACTGCGCGGTAATTAATTTAGGACTGCGCGGTAATTAATTCAGAACTGCGCGGTAATTTAATGCGCGTGTGATTATTTACATTTAAATACTTATCAGTTAACTTCTTCCAAGGGGGCCCAGTCATTTTTTAAAACGTGTATCCTGACATTAATTAACGGAAAAATAAGATGTGATGACGTCATGGGGTCCATTTATAATAATTTCTGACTAGATATTCTGACTCGCCGAGGTCGCCTTTCTATCTGCAATAAATTTATAACGTGAAAACTCCATATTAAAGGAGTTAAAAGACCCGAAAGGTACATTTGGCGGCCATTTTGAATTTATGTAAATTAGGCCCTTTCCCCGCCCCGAAAATCAAAACTTTGGATATGTTGTAGAGGATGATCCCACGAAGAAACCGTCTGTTACAATTAGTTCTAGGTCACCTCCTTAATTTGACTGCACTACATGCTTACAGAAAAGACAAATATGAGTGTCTGTGATGTTAGGATATTACTAAACCCATTCGAGAAAGTCACATTTACAAAATCTTTTGACGAATGTAGACCAACACCGTCCAGTCAAACTCCAAATTCTGGTGTTAGCCCTGCAGTCCATACATATACAGTATTTGAGTTACTGTATTTCTGATACGTCTCTTCGTGCATGAGTTACTTTAATTCGGATACTTCTCTTCGTGCATGTCTGGCCGCTTCGTGCATGGATTGTTTAACGGTCAACACGAATCCAATCTGATTAAAACACAGATCCCTATTTCGTTTCGTTTTTTTATAGTTCAAAATTTCGTTTTACTTGTCTTTACTACACTAGGAACTGGAAGAGTTGTTATATTACTGGTATATGTTTTATCTTTTATAGAATTCGTGTTTAAGAACCAGAACAAAGCGTGAAATAGAAGGTACAATACATTTTCTTTACCAAAATAAAATCCGTCTTAACAAGCCATAATTCGGAAAAGCAATAATATTTTGGAAGCAATGGCGACAAGCATTGTCCACTCATTAACCACTACCAAGTTTTAAATATTGGTCTTCCAAAATCAGTTGCCCTTTAATAAAAACAGGTTTAGGTAGGTTTAGGTTGCGGAATGGTTAACGCATGCGCGTTGGATCAGAAGGTCTGGCATTAAGTGGCGTGGTTTCGATTCCCCGATTGTATGTGACCAGGAGTAGGGTCGCCTGTCCAACCACGTGGGTTTTCTCCGGGTCCTCCGGTTCCCCCCCCCCCCCCACTGCGAAATACCCCTACCCGCAATCGAATTATTGAAATAAAATTAAACCATGTTAGTCCCGAAATGACCTAGTTTATATCAAGTGGACGTTAAACCCCCTTTTCTGACGAACCAGTCGCCCCCCCTCCCCCCGGGTTCGATCCCTTGTACGTGTTGGTATGCACATTAAAGCATAGGCGTACGGGGAAATTTTTGACGGGGGGGGGGGGGGCGGTGGTGGTGGTGGTTGGTGCCCAAAAAATGTAGTTAGGTTCTTAGTATGTTACATAATAATAATAAATTCGCTGTTAAATTGGACATATTCAAGAAGACAATATATTTTTATACAACTTTTACAAAGTACAATTGTGTGCCCAAATTTTCCCAGCATTTGGTGCCCAAAATGCCCCCCCCCCCCCAGCTCCCCTAGCTCGTACGCCTATGCATTAAAGCAACCATGACAGTTGGAATTTGATGAATAGCTGGAAAGGCCGCAGACCCCCATAGCACCGTGCAATGTCTATGCTACGTTAAACCCCATTTCATCAGTATCTTGTAATTTCAGGTGATGAGGGTGAAATATTTACAGTCCATTCTAACAGATTAACAGTAGAAAAAACCCAAAAGAAACCGGTCATGATTAGCATTGATGCTAAGAAGAACGCGGAAGAATAAAATACGGGTAGTAAGAAATAAAACCATTATTGAAATTGCCTTATTTTCTTTATTCAGGAAGAGGAAGATGGGGTGGGCACAGTGACGTAATAAGACGTTAGCGCATTAACCAGGAACTGGCGTGTTTTTCAGTGTTGGCGAAGCAACATTTAACGGTCTAATTTTGCCCTGTCGTGGTGCAGGACAGCTAGGGAAATGCCACGTGTTTCGGGTGGGACGAAAAATCGAGGGAAAGCCTTGATAGTTAGAATCTGATTAAGGGTAGACCGAAATGTCATAGCACACAGTATGGCATATCCCCGCTTTCATTAGTCCGGCTGGTGATGAAACGTAGCTTAATTTTAATTTCGTATTCAGTTTAGCAAGGATTGTCATTCTGGTTTTCGCTTGAATGCAGAGCTGGGTGATTTATCTGGCATAGCAAAACCTCAAGTTGTTTGGACAGGACGGAAAACCTGTCGCAGGGAGCGACGGTGCCTAAGTGGATAAGGCGCTGGCTCGCTAGTCTGGATGTCGCATACCGCAAGCGCCTGTTGTTCAACATTTGTAAACCACAGATAACATTGTGTGACTCTTAAACACAGACCGTCAAAATCGTATAATGTGTATGAATGGACCCAAATGTACAGTTTGAAATGAAAGTTGTTTCAGCATAGTCAAATTGAACACCGCTTTTGAACAACCTACGACCTTTACAAGTAGTTAGCCTGGAGGTCGCATAATCGATTCCTGCATTGGCCGAAAAAATTCATCGAGATTTTCCGACGTGGCTCCCCCTTGTCAGTGGTGCAGGACGGGAGGCCTGAGGACAGCTGTCTAGTCGTTCGGATGGAACGAAAAACTGTCCCGTGTACACATTGGCTTTCACATAAATGATCCCTTAGTAGTTTGAATTCCATTGGGAGCACACTGTGGCGTAAGACCGTCTTAAATAGCCCAGTAGGAGCAGAACAGTAGGACGTTAAACCCTATTTCCTTTCCGGGATACACACATGCCCCTTTGTATGGAACATGAAACACACATCACCTGTGATTTCTAAACGAAACCTAGATTGGCAGACAACGGAACTTGGGCCCAAGCTGAGCAACAGCTATGTCGTCTAATGGTTAGCAAAACAAATAAAAAACCGAAAGCCCCGTAGAAGTCGTCTCCGTTTCCATTTAAATTTCATACAGGATTTATTGCAGCCTCAACTGTCGAAATGGTTCCACTACAGATGTTTTCCCGTTTTGCTCCAGCCATAATAGTGGATCGTGCTAAGGCCTTCCTTTGAACAAGTTTTGTAGTCATTTGACCACAAAAAAATGTTACTGGCCTTTAACTCCCTTAATTTCCAAATAAACTGGTCCCAAACCGTACTACATATATAGCTTAACATAATAACCCAATTCACATTGAAAAAAAGGTAAAACCATAACAAGTAAATTTAAAATAATCCAACGACAACGCGATATTTCTGTCGTTTTTAAAATGCCGCCGGACCAGAATTAGAACAAGCACGTGATATCACGTCGCCTCGAAAATATATAGAGATGGGGTTTAACGTACATTCTACACAAACTAGGTTATTTCGGGACTAACATATGGTTCAATTTTATTACAATAATTCGCTTCCGCGTAGGGGTCTTTAGCAATAGGAGGAAACCGGAGAAAACTCACAAGATTGGACAGACGACCCAACTCCTTGTCACGTACAACCGAAACCACGCCAGTTGACTCAATGACATAACCGATGATACAACGCGCAAGCGCTAACCATTCGGCGCCACCCCCACCCCACCGCCCTTCTTGAAAATATAGAAAAACTTTATCGGTAATTTAAGATTTCAGTGTTCCACTCTTCACTATTTGTAACATAATTACTTATTTCCATGCCAACTGTGATATGTGTTGCCAATGAAGCTTTTTTTTTTTACTTGCGCAAAGCCTTGTATAGTTTATCAGTAAGTGTACTGACAAATGTAAAGGGTGAACCGACAACAAAGGGGCATGTGGCAACAAAGGAGCATAATTATGGAAATTATACAGTCTTCAATTGACTTTCAATAGGATAAACTACGAACAGCACACAGTTATAACAATCTGATTAAAGTACAGATCTATATTTCGTTTCTAAATATACTATTCAAAAAAAGTAGGGGATATTTGATTTTTAAGTGTTATTAAAGTCACCTAATGAAACTGACGAAGAAACAAATGACAAAATGAAATGAAGTTCACATTCATCGATTTATTCCAAATGATCGTTAGACTAAGTAAGGCACAGACTGACCATTATAAGGGTAAAATGATACCCGGGGTCAAACAGCAAAGTTACCACAGCATCACAACTAAGTCAGTAACGGGTAAATCCTCCTCTGTTTGCCAAACAAGCATTGATCCGACGTGGCATACTCCTAATGAGACGTCTAAGGTCATTTTGGTCCAGATTGTCCCATTCCTGTTGCAACGCAGCAGCAAGTTCTTGGACATTGGCAGGACGTTGTTGACGTTGACGTAACCTCTGTCCAAGCATGTCCCAGACATGCTCGATGGGGGAGAGGTCGGGACTCAGTGCTGGCCAAGGTAATGTGGTGATGTTCTGTTGTTGGAGGTAACCTGTAACGATCCTGGCCCTGTGACATCTTGCGTTGTCATCCTGGAAGATGAAACGGCGGCCATGACGTCGTGCGAACGGCACAACATGGACTGCCAAGATGTTGTCCCGGTAGTACTGGCCTGCAACAACATGTAAAGCCGTTCTTCCAGCAACAGTGATGCCTCCCCACACCATAACAGAACCACCCCCAAATCGATCATGTCTGATGACGTTAACGTCTTGGAAGCGCTCGTTTCGACGACGCCACACCCTCCTACGTCTGTCCAAAAAATCAACAGTGAACCTTGACTCATCTGAAAACATCACATTGCTCCAGCGTCGATTATCCCAGTGTTGACGATCCCTACACCAACGACGTCTTGCCTGAATGTGATGATCTCTCAAACAAGGGATCACGCGAGGACGTCGGGCGCGAAGGTGACCCCTCTGCAGTCGATTCCGAATCGTCTGGCCACTCACTCTCACACCAGTGTCTGTTTGAAGACGAGCGCTGATCTGATTTGCTGTGATGACACGATTTCTCAAGGCCAAGGTACGGATAAATCGATCCTGGGCTTGAGTTGTCGCCCTTGGTCGACCTGAGCGTGGTCTGTCCTGTACAGATTGTGTATCACGGTATCTGGACCATAGCCTGCTTTTGACAGACTGAGAAACATTCATCGTCCGCGCCACAACCGCCTGTGTTGTGCCGATCTGTAGCATGCCAAGGGCACGTAACCTTTCATTTTGGGTAAGCCGACGCATATCAAAATTTGTTTTCTGGTCACTAAAACAATTAAACTGATGTTTCCACCCTGGAATTCAATGCCACAATGACTGTAACATTCAAAGTCAGAGTCGTGCAAATCTTGGGTTGGACCCCCATGATGATCCCAAGCATCACCTGCATTCCATGCGGTAGCTATTGGTGCGTTTGGGCGTCACATGTAACTGGAAATGTTTCTTCTGTTAGGTTCTATAGTGACTTTTTTCGTAGTCATTTGCATATTTTAGTATTATGCCCCCAAAATCAAATATCCCCTACTTTTTTTGAATAGTATACTTTCGATGGCATACACTACATGAAGAACTGACAAGTTGTAGCGATAGGTCGCGTCCGATGTCATACGAGCGGCTTTTGACTTGATGATTTATGACGTCAGACATTTGATTAACCAATCAGCATTGATGTTTCTAATGGATTACCCACAGTTCCGTGCAAAACACGCCTAAAGCTCGCCGTAACAGACCGTTTCATTGGCTAATGCCCAACACAATTCAGAACACGTCAATGATAACAACCCTTCCAGATCCTAGTGTAGTAAAGACAAGTAAAACGAAATTTTGAACTATAAAAAATGAAACGAAACGGGACCTGTATTTTAATCAGATTGACAGTTATAACAAGGTGTAACAAAGGGGAATAACTATAAGGGTGAATTCACTGAATACCGAAAAAACGTTGAATATCAATTAGACATTGACAATACTACTCCAGATCACCTACAAACCCAAGACGGAATTCATGATTTGCATAGATAACAGACGTTATATTATGCTGTCAGACTGTTGGCACACAAACCATGACAGTGACTGAAAGTTGACCGAGAATGCTTCGGGGACTTGTAAAGGCGTGTATCTTAAGAACCCCTTCGAGTAAATGGAAAATCTGCTGTTGGGACAAAAATTCTCGTATTCCATTTTGTATAAGTACATGCATTAAATAACTCTTGACATCCAGGAAGGGGACAATATGACCAAATTAATATGCGAGTCTATTTGCATAATCACAAATTTATTGGTTGTATACAGTAGATAAAATTTATAAGCTTACATACATAAAAAAAACTAGTACATCCTAACAATAACCAGGAACCAGCCCACTTGGAATTATGATGTCACATCAAAAATTGAACTCAGTGGATCAATGAGCAATTGTTCAAAGAACACGCATGCCAAGTTTCAAGTCCATCCTATACTCAAGAGCGCTGCCTCAAGAGGATGATTACCAAGGGCATGGAAGCAGCATACTAAACTTGCACTGTCTCTCTAGGATTGCCTTGCTTGAGAACAGACACTAACATTTTAATTCCTAAAATTGATGATTTTAGTCATAACTGTAAGTATACTTCGCGAAATGTGAGAAGTATTTATTTCGCTTACATTTATCAAAATAGAAAAGGCTTTATTCGGTCTTTGTGTGTATGATTGATGTGAAACCGCATTACCAGGAAACACACTGTCAGACCTAAAGTCGTATTTTCGATAAAAAAAAATGTAAATGGAGATTAAAATTTGATTTTGACGATAACTATTTGGGGTACTGGTGATCCTTTTTGAAAACTGGCGGGGGGGGGGAAAAAAATATCTTAAAATTCTAATCGTATCTATGCTAGATAAACCATTAGTTTTTGATCACAATCACGTGGAATACTATAATCATAACAAAATAGTAAACTAATCTTTAGATATGGTGGCCATTCAGGGCAGAGGTCTATACTCAAAGTATATAGTTCTCTGTGTGTAGAATGTGGGACCAGTTCCTGGTTCATAAATCACAACTTTTTAAAGTTTTCCCTTTAATATTAATAATAGGTAAATAAACAAAGATATATATTTATATAATATTATAGTAACTAAATAATCTAAAATACACAGAAATGATACAACCTCGGAACATCGTACATATAACCATCAAATTTTTAGGGATTTTCTGCCAGTACAATTACCATGTTAGTTCAACCAAAACGATTAAAATAGTTCAAATTTGATGGATCCCTATCCCAATTTGTTAGTCACGAAAATGATTTGGTGAAATCAAGCAATCATTTGCCAGAAATTCCCATTTAAACTCTATTGGAGGGATTGAGAGATTCAATTCTGTAACCTTCAATCAGATATCCCCATGGTTATTAATAATATGTATTTGAAGACCCCAGAGGAAGAACGATCTACGTCACATTTTTCATGAACCCACCCCAGTTAATGGCACCATCTGGTAGCAAATTGTATAGGGTAAGCTTTCTGTAGAACAATCCATTTCAGGTCATATCTATCCAGGGCCCTTTTGAAATGGCCTTATTGAACTGAAAAGTTGAAGTCAGTTCTACTGGTAATTATGGTTCTATTAAACCTACTCATTTTTCTGTTCACGTCAAACATTCTTATCCATCACAAAAATGTGACTTAGATTGTTCTTCCCATGGGTTTTTCATTTCTTTATAAATGTAGTTCCATCAAACAATCTCTACTAATATCTACTCTATATCCAACAACAAATGAAAACATAAAATGTAAAATTGATTTCAAATTTTTTCTACCAGGATTATACAATATTGTTATTATTAAGAACAAGGTTTGATTTGGGTCGGGACTCTTAACCTGGGCTGTATTTACATGGAGTTAAAAAAATACTATATTACCGTCATCTACAAACTTAATCAATCCTACAAACCACTAATGTTATCCAATTACATTTGAAAACTCTAATTTTCTTTAATTTGTTGACTATAACAATTGTTTGTTTTTTTTTACAATAAGTGACGTTTTGAGCAATGAAGTACTAGCATTACTCAAGAATATTGCAAGTACCAAAGCTTAAAGATACATTATGGGAGATTAGATAATTATATATAAAGAGCTGGCAGTTCTCACTATAATAGTTAAAACCTAGATAGTGTAAAGGGAATTTGCTGAAAATTTCAGTCAAATTGATCCACCCTGAACCGAGTATTTCGCGATTGAATTTTGGGCCTAGCCTCGATCATCATTACTAAAGTCGGTATGTTAAAAAAAACATAGTCTCGATTATCCATTTATTGATTTAATCAGAAATAGCAGACCGGGTTCTAATCCAGTAAATATCGCAGGCTCTTAATTATTAATGTCTAATTAATAATTTAGATAACATTTCAGGCCTAAAGAAAGACCTGCAATAGGCAGATAAGTGACATTCTGAGCAATAAGGAACTAGCTTTACACAAGAATACTGCAAGTACCAAAACTTAAACTACTAGAATTCCTTGTCTAAAACTAGTTTTCTTTGATGTTATCAATATCAATGATTTTAAAACAGTTTTGTTTTTTTGTCCTTTTATAAATAAATAATATTTAAAATATTTAAAATAAATAGTCAGAAAATTGTAAATGGTTTTCAAAAGACATCAGGATTTTCACTTCCAAATGTTGCCAGTCCGTCAATTTTATATATTTGGTTTACTTCAGATTTTTAAGTGTTTTTACAACTGAGCTAATATCAATTTTTTTTTAAATATAGTTTTAACGATAAATTTAACTGTAATTATTGTTTTTGAACGATATATTTAACTGTACTTACACTGTAACCCGGGTATCATTCAACAGTGATCAAGAAATTAAACGCTTGTAAATTGGACACTCCTTTTCAAAAATGAACAGTCAGCTTTAAACTGGACACAAGTAGAAATTGGATGATTTTTGTTGATTTTAAACAATTTTTAAACAAAGATTTGTTATTAAACAAATGTGAAAGAAATTAGTGCTAGATACACAATATTAAATGATACCTGGGTTACAGTGTTATTGTCTTTGCAACTTATTTTATGGTATGTAAAATGACTGACTGGTACTAGTTACTACGATTGACAGGTAAGTTCAACAGTCGGTCAATTAACTATGACTGACATGAGAGCCTTGTTCTTGTATGTAATGATTTGAGGGGAGTTATAATTGCTTGTTGATGTCAATATAATGGAATGTATCTGTAATGGTCTAAGGGGTCTGTCGTCGCCTAGCTGCTCGCTGTTTATCGAAGCGTGACTCCATCTCCTCCAGTACTTTCGGTGTGTATCTTACAACCAGTCTCACCATACCTAAAATCAATAACAATTCAAATTAAAGGCTCAATACCACTCTTGTTGTAACTGAATAATATGTCCCAATATTTATTCTAGTCAACAAATTGTACTATTTTACAATATTCCAATTAATTGATGATACAAATTTCATCTTAACACACCTAATTTAAAAAATTGGAAAAATTCAACTAAATGATTTGAAAAGCCTAACGTAAACCTTTTCAAATGTGACTTAGATTTAAAAATATTTTCAAACCCTCTGGACAAGTAAAATAGGATGTAATGGATAATTTACAAAACAGGTAAGACACTAACACATCTAGTACTTAGAATAAGGCTATTATTTATTTTCTGGAGCTGTCAAGCCAGCAAGAGTGTTATTGTACCTTTAACAAAACAACACCAACAACTCTTTTATCAACATCAAGTGCCCTTTAAAACCAAGGGGGTGGGGCTAATGACGTATGCTTTAGATCATAGAAAATGTCATGGAGTCCATTCCAAGGTTGTATGCGACAAGAAGTAGGATTGCCGCCCAACCTCGGTATACAGAAGGGTACGGTACACAGGGATTTGTCTGTAATATTATAGTCATCAACGACCCCTTTCAGCATTACTGGACACTTCCAAATTTAACCAGAAACATTTAATAGAGTTACCTCCCTTTAACACAGTAATTAATGAGGATGGTTTTAAATTAAAACTTGTCATGTGGCCCATTTTATTTGAATCTGTATGGCCTGATAGTAAGTGCAGGTGGACCACACCATACATTAACAATTACACAAGATAAATCTACAGACGAGACAGTATCATGCTTACCGTGAGCTTGTTTTAATAATTCTACAGCTTTCTCATGATTCTCCCCTTCCACACTCTAAAATACAAAATACAATCAAATTACAATATATATCATGATTCTCCCCTTCCACACTCTAAAATACAAAATACAATCAAATTACATATGCAATATCGTTTATTTTCAGACTAAATTATACATCTAGTATAAAACACTAAACACAGCTTTTTAACAATTTTTTAGATGTCTTCTTAGAGAGAGAGAGAGAGAGAGAGAGAGAGAGGACACAAACATATGGTTCAATTTTATTTCAATAATTCGCTTGTGCCTAAGGATCTTGCAATGGGAGGAAAACTGGAGGACCCGGAGAAAACCCACAAGGTTGACAGCGACCCTACCCCTTGTCACGTACAATTGGGGATACAACGCTTACAACTGATGATACAACGCGCACGCTAACCAATCGGCCATCCAATCCCCCTGTCTTCATAGAGAACATGTATCATCTTTGCTTAATTACATATATCCAATTTTATTCAAGAATATATAAAGTAGCATAGTTTGCATACAATATATAAATTTTCAGTGATTAATCCATGCTAAAACAATTCAAATTGATATTCAATACAAAGCAAGAAAACAAAGCGACAAAATCTTTTTATTAGGATTCCATCATATTAAAAAGAGACACATCAAAAGATTTAATCCAACACAAAGTCATTATATGTGGTGACAAATTTCAAATCATCATATCTTTGTAAATTGAATCGTTTTTGGTGTGTGTGTGTGTGTGAAATAGCTTTAAAAAACATTTATTAACGTTTGATGCCATCAAGGTATTATCGCTGATAAGATAATTTTTGGGCAATGATATTCATTTTATAGATTCAACTTTCAAAACATTGATGTCCAATAGCTTTAACTGAAACAATTAGTGTTGGTCCGATATGACACCTATCGGTTTTACTGATATCAGATATTGACAGTAAAATACAGTGCACTCTGTCACATCCGACCTCTGATCACTCCGGCATTCTGTTACATCTGACATCATTTTCATGTCCCGATTTATTTCCTTATTACTTCAGCCAAAAAATCTCTGGGTAATTCGACCTCTGTACGTTCCGGATTACAACATCAATCAGCCGTCCCGTCATACGATTTACCTTGAAACGACACCGTATAATCCGGCCTTCAATCGGTGGGTGTGAAGCAAACACTTACCGATCAATTATCCGTGAGATTAAAACTGGATGGGTGTGCAGATGATACAGATACAATTACCGATAGTGGTGGATATAAAACTATTACGCATTAAATTGTCTCGAATGGCATTATAATCTATGTAAATATGTCATAGTTGGAAAATGCATGGTACTATTTTATCTCGGGAATCAAACATGAAAGCGGTGTTTTTGAAGTAATAATTGGGTCACGCTTCCTACGCAATCAAAAATACAGACCATTTATTATAAGGAACCTAATTATTTGCTGTATTATTAAACATGCATTATGCAAGAGCAAAATCTGCTTATTACAAGTCTTTCTTTAGGCCTGAAATTAGACATTAATTAACTTATCCAGACCATAATAAACTCTCGATGTCAAGGCTAGCCTTCGATGTTGGCTGGATTAGATTCCTATATGCCGCTAACGGCTATTGATAATTAAATCAATAAAAGCGGATAATCAAGACTATGCTGTTTATATTAATGATTTTAGTAATGATGACCGAGACTATGCAAAAATTTCACACGCTTCTTTCTTGGCTCATAGTGGATCAATTTGACTGAAATTTTCAGCAAATTACCTTTACACTATCTAGTTTTTAACTATTATAGCGAGAACTGTCATCTCTTTATCTTATCTCCCATAATGTATATTTAATTAATAAAGTAGAGATTATTATCATATTTTAAGTGTTCATTTCCTAAAGTGCTTGGCACCTGTATGTCTATAATAGATGTACAATGGTTCATGCGGTAATGAATGATACATCATTGCGATAGCTTCCTGACCTGTCTGTCAGCAGTGGCAATCACGTGACATTCTCCTGCCATTTCTAGAACTATAGTTAAATATAAAACCATCTAATGGGAATTTATTTGTTGGTAATATTATTAATTAATATTAATTTAATGATTTGTTCACAACTCGGATAATATTTTAAAGATATTAACCAAGTCGTTTTGAATAGATATCGGCAACTCCAGTATTGGTAAAATGGCCGTGTATCGGCCGATACCGATTTCTCCAGATAGGCCACTTGTCGTCCAATTAACGATGTTGAAACCGATTATCGGATCATCACTAGGAATGATCTTATTATGGAATAGTTCCTGCTACTACAATTGATACTAGACAGTTATTAACTTACCACGCCATTCACGGACAGAAGTTGATCTCCCCTTTTCAAAGTCTTGGCTCTATCAGCGACGCCATCTGGTATAATGCGTGAAATATAGATGGGAGAGTTCTGTTCCTTTCCTCCCATTACGTTAAAACCCAGACCTTCTTCTGTTTTAGGCAGCTCAACAACACGTGGGTGGGCATGGCCTTCGCTTGCAGCAAACGCTGCTACAGTAGCCTGAAACACAGAAGAAGAGAAACTGTCAAAAACATCAATCTGATTAAAACACAGATCCAATTTCGTTTCGTTTTTATAGTTCAAAATTTCGATTTTACTTGTCTTTACTACACTTGGATCTGGAAGCGTTGTTCGTCTGTCAAATCGAGCGTTTGACCTTTTTTGTGCGGAACTGTGGGTAGACATTAGCGGCAATAGAAATCAAAACAAAGCAAAAGTAGATATAAAATACATGGCGGTCCCAAATTGGTTAATCGAATGATTGACGTAATCGGATCAAATGTCGCTTGCTTGGTACCTGACGTCATAGAACGTGAACTCCCACTATAACTTGTTAGATCTACATGTAGATGTAGTGTAGGCCATCTAAAGTATAAAAAACGAAACGAAATATAGATCTATATTTTAATTAGATTGTGTAAATATTGATTATCCCCGTTCCCTGCAAAATGTTCCATGCAATAACCTTAGCTTGTTCAGTCGTCGTTTGTATTTTAGAGAGCAGAAAAAGCTCCCCTTAATGAACAAATTGTAAAAATCGCTCCCCCAAAAAAGCTCTCCCAGTTTCAATAAGAAGAGTGATTTAGAAATTAAGGCGAGTGATCTGATATTAAGGGGAGCGATTAGTTGTGTGTATAGGAAATGGTTCTAAGACCAATAACTGTATGTTAGGGGGTCATTCCTGGTTTCATAAATGATAATAAACCACCGATGACGTTGTGATGGAGAGCTATTTTCAATTTTAAGGCCCTCCCCTCAGTCAATATTCAGGTGCACGGCAGGCACTCGAGAGCGATCTCTCGCCTTAAGAAACAATGTTTAACATCCACTTGATACAAACTAGGTCATTCTGGGACTAACATACGGTTCAATTTTATTTCAATAAATCGCTTGGGCGTTGGGGTCATTAGCACTAGGAGGACATTGGAGAACCCGGAGAAAACCCACAAGGTTGGCCTGGTGATCACGTACAAGCAGGGAATCAAAACCATGCCACTTGACTAAATAGTTTACTTACTGAAGAGACAAAAAAACACAAAAAAACAAAACATAAAAAGTATCGTGATACATCGGTTCAGCGTTACGCGATTCAATATGTGAATTGTAACTTGGTGATACATCGATTAAACGATATATCGTACCAGCACTAAACATAAGTACACAAAACCTGAGTTGTAGTGTAAACATGTACTGGTACATACCTTAGCAGTAGCATTAGCTCTAATTTCAGGACTACCAGTTATATCAACAGTCTCGTAAACATTCTCATAAACTTCTCGTACGGCTGTCAAAAAATCACTCTGTAGAATCTTCTGAAGAGCTTGGAGTTTTGCAGCAGGGAATTCCCCACCTATAAATGAAACATTTAATAAATTTATATAGAGAATTTTAATCAACTCACTGAAATTGAACTGACTTATACTACTGGTACTTAGAGCACCAATCAATTCAATGAGGCCTAGAAGTTGATCAGAATTTGTCAGTGATGTAAGATTGAGGTCCCGTAACACATTAGATTGCATGTTGATGAACCCATGAATTTGAATGTAACCCAAATGTATAAGTGTATAGATTCAACGAGATTGTGTATAACCAGATTGTGTATTATAACAAGACTGTATATTACATCCAGATTGCGTTTAACCAGATTGTATATTATAACGGGACTGTATATAATATCCAGATTGCGTATAACCAGATTGAGTATTATAACGATATTGTATATATTATATCCAGATTGCGTATAACCAGATTGTGTATCATAACAAGACTGTATATTATATCCAGACTGTGTGTAACCAGATTGTATACTACAACATGATTGTGTGTTATAATCAGATTTGTGAATCAGATTGTTTGTTATAACCAAATGGAATAATGGATGGATTGTGACTTACTTCTCTGTAGAACATCTAACAGTTCAATAGCTCGGATAACATCTGCAAATAATGAAAAAAAAAATTCCCACAATTATGAATATTAACAAAAAGACATCCCACACGCTTGTATGACAAAAGAAAACAAGATGACTAGTCATCACCATCCCGCGCCCTTGCACTTGTTTGGAAGGCGTAAGGAAAAACAACTTCTTGGAATATCAATGGGTCTGGGAAGTGCAATAGCGCCTGGGTCTAGTATATTAATATAGTCAGAAGATTCATACTCTGATCACAGTAGCTGGGCAAGGCAGGGTCGCTACTCCCTGTAACTTACTGTAAGGTTTGCACAACAACTTTTGCCTACTTCAATCAAATGCTGTATGTTAAACAATAAACTTATAGTTATACATCAGAAAATAAAATACTATAATACTAATTAAAGCAAGCGTTATCTATATTTTAAAGATAGGTTGCCAGGCCACAAGATTTTTCAAAGTGATCAAGGCCCATAACTCTAGCAGTAATTATTGGAAATCGCTGAAAATCAAAAGGCTTCTTCGTCTCATGACCTTAAACACTTTGACCTCTACAGCGTCCACAAGATTTTTCAAAGTGATTAAGGGCCATAACTCTGGCAGTAATTATCGGAAATCGCTGAAAATCAATAGGCTTTTTCATCTCATGACCTTAAACATTGTGTTTAAGTTTAAGATCAATCGGATATTAACTTTGGCCTCTAGAGCGTCCACAAGATTTTTTGAAGTGATCAAGGGCCATAACTCTGGCAGTAATTATTGGAAATCGCTGAAAATCAATAGGCTTCTTCGTCTGAAGACCTTAAACACTGTGTATAAATTTGAAGTCAATCGGGTATTAACTTTAGCCTATAGAGTGTCCACAAGCAATTGTGGACGACGGACCGACGGACGGACGGACGGGGGCGACGACAATATACGACCACATTTAAATGTGGGCGTATAATAAAACTGGGTAGTGATACTACTGAGTGATAGATCATAGATGCAGACTACTGTAACTGTGGGCTAGCCTACTGATCTACAATCATTTCCTTCTTTTTTATCTACTACGAGGGAGCTGTGTCTATGATGGAGAAAAGTGTGCGGTAATTTTGAAGAGCTGCACCGACGCCAAATGATGCAGTCACTGATGAGTGATGTCATATTTTTTGGTAAGTCAAACTCAAAAGCCTTCAACTTCACTTCTTCATTTCACTTCATCCGCCTTCATTCAGTCAGGTAAATTGGAAAGATAAAGCTGCTTTTATCGCTATACATCTGAACTGAACAGTCTACAACAATAACAAAACTGTTATTTTAATCTAAATTTTCACAGATCAAACGTCATTTATCCTTATAAAATTTATATTTACCCTTTTCTAAGGTAAGAGGCTCGTCAACAGTCGCCATTTTGAATTTTCGCCGGACATTCTAAAAAAACAAAAAAAGGCTTTTTAATCGAGAATATATGGAAGACATGTGTGGCCATTTGCCATTAGTTTTTTTTTTAGATCATAGACCCTCTCCTTTGCAATCACGGGGGTATTTATTTTCCAAGGTCGCCATGTCGTCGGATACAAATTATATAGGATTATGATTATTTCTCGAGTGCAAATATTCAGAAACTGTAGAACGATTTAACCAAATCCACCATTTTTTCAACTCATTTTTACCGGTACACGAGTTATAATTATTATATCCCTTTCAAAACATAGCAGTTTATATATATACAAGGGGTCAAAAAAGTCCCCAAATGACAATTAGACATTTTAAAAGTGTAGTCGGATCTAATGAACATCTTAGGTAGAGTCCTAGTTACTTTTTCATGTTGGGCACATGAATATTTATAGCTAGTCACTATAGTCAGGTGCAGGCTGTTTCGCTGGCTGTTTCGTACTTAATTCATTCGTACCTCACTTAATTCCTACCTCAAATTGATTCGTAACTTTTCCTATCTTGTTGAAATCAGTTGAAAGAAATTGAATATGCCAAACCAGAATTAGATATGCACGAGATTTAATTGTACCATTGATTAGTTCCCTTTTCCTAAATCCAAATTAATTCGTACCTTTTCCTATGTTGTTGAAATAAATTGAATGAATTTAAAATAGATCAAAATATGTTGTTGAAAGAAATTGAAATAATAAACGATTACCCGTTTTTTTTTTGTTTTCTTTTTAAATCTGGTGTTGATTATTGAACCCATTCTGCTCAGTTAGTTGTAATTATTGACGACAATTGATTGGTGATTGTAAAAGCAGTTTAAAAAACGATTGAATTTAATCTGGTGCTGATTATTGAACCCATTATTATTGACGATAATTGATTGTCGCATTGGTCTTCCATAATTAGTCTAGTCTCGATACCCCAGTTTTATAGTCATTGGCGTGGAAGAGAGCTCATCGACGCGTAACCGGCCTTCTTTTTGTGGTGTAAATTTTTAAAGATAATAAAAGAATAAATTTAGACGCTAGCAGAAAATGATATTGCAATCTTTTGAACATATAGCTTGACAAAAGTATCTATGGAGATGCCGGGGATCGAACCCGGGGCCTTTCACATGCAAAGCGAACGCTCTACCACTGAGCTACATCCCCACTGTTATAACGTTCCAGTTTTAAAGACTCATATTAAATAACTAAATAAAACTGACGCATTTAACCGTTTTCAGACCATGGTTTAATTTAGTGAAAATTAGAATAATTAATCATTGCGCGACCATTCTGTTTCTTAGATCGCATTTTACTTGCCCAAGTGTGTGTGAAAGTACAACTGGTATACAAAAGACTACCTCCTGAATAACTTGTCTCGGTCAGTAGGGGATGTAGCTCAGTGGTAGAGCGTTCGCTTCGCATGTGAAAGGCCCCGGGTTCAATCCCCGGCATCTCCATGTTTTGTTTTTTTTTGGCTTTTTTTTTTAACGGACACCAGTTATAATTAAGGTTTTTTTTACGTACATTTATCCAAAAACATTTTAGTGACATGGAAAAGACTTCGTAAATAATTCTCACAAAATTGCTACTTTAACTTAGTTAAAGTAGGCCTACTTATGATAGAGGTTTAAAAATGACAATTCACGCTAACCATTGAATATTTGGAATTCTGGAATTCATCCTTTAATTTTTGGTATTTGTAACATATGCAGATGCTAAAAGAGAGAATACTCTGGCATACGCAATATGGTATCAGGCAGCAGCCAGCAGCCACATTAGCAAAATCCCTAAATTGTGAATTATGAGTTAGGGGTCCGATTGGGTCCCATGTTCTCTTCATCTTCAAGTTCAATGGAGCGTTCCATTTGCATGTAACATTTATAACTCTGCATGTGGGAAGCAGATGAATACCGATCTCTTCGCTACGTGTAAAAATGTATAGGACTAGGAGACAAAGTCAATAAATTTCAGAAAGCAGTTATTACAAAACCTATAAAACATGTTCATGGGGTCCACGGAGACCCCACGTGCACCGACAAGGGTTAAACGGATTTTTTTCGATTATGAACTAACTAGCCTACTTAAATTTTGTTATTATAAACTTACCTGTGTGTTTAAAATCACCTCCCATTAAATCCATATAGTTCTCCCTTGAAAATTTGAATTACCGGTACCACAAACTTATGACATCGAAAAATACCAAAACGGAAGCTGATTACGTCACTCTTCGGGAGAGATCATTTCGTAGGCTTATTAATACTGAATACTTGTATTAAGGGCTGGCATCATGCCACGGTTTGCGGTATTTTTAGGACAAGTGTTGTATAAGATCTCGGCTCGGTATTGAGTTTGGGCGTTACACCCATATCTGCACGCATCTTTATTTTGTTACCATCTTTTACATTCTAGTAAAATCTATGCAAGAAAAGTTTATAACTTTATACCCCTTGAAACATTTTTTTAATCGTATTTTTTTTTTTGATTAGAGAGATGGATGGGTGAATTTTCTTTTGAACACAAATACGGCACAAAACAATGATTGTTTCACGGGATTTAAATTTTACCCATGAATATCTTTAATATGATATATAACATGATAGATTAAACGTATATGTACACGGAATTTACAATTATGGGGCGATTTAAGTAATATTTACAAGAAATTAAAAGACAGATGATGACAAAGAATATATTTACATTATGAACAATCAAGTATTTGGCCTCCTGCACCCTATCACAGTACGTTGAATCTAGAAGTGGTGGTGCGATTCTTACGAGGTCTGCAAAGGTTTTTTTAGCATTATAAATCCACTCAAACGATCGGAATGATCACGCTTTGTTTTGATTGCAACACGTGGTTCATTTTCTTATTTTAATTTTGCCGTCTTGGAACCAAATGCGAAGCCAATAATAGATTCTTTCAGCTGTAATAGTTCATAGATGTGTAGAGAATATCACGTGCGATGGCTAACCAAAAATCACTTCGAGACAAGCCACTGTAGCGTGCACATTCGCCGTGTCGAGATCAACTTTCAGTAGAGAAAATTTTCTCTGCACGGGGCACCCTATCTATTTCTGAAAAAAAAAATCGAATGATATATTATGTCCATTTTGCATCATTATATTTTAGTACTGGGTAGTATGTGGTATTGGGGAGGTATTGGGGTGATATGGGGTGGTATTGGGTATAGTATTGGGTGTAGTATTGGTTACATCGTTCCGCCGTGTTATTCCAGTCTCCACCGGTAGTATCTCCAATAGATCAGTGGTATTCTCCTGCATAGGATATGCTTAGCCTCGTTTAAACCGAGTCGCTTCATGCAACTGGCGCTCGAAAATATTCTCGCATACGATTCGTGTGCCAATTTTAAAATTTTCATTTTGTCTTAAATAATATTGGATAGCAGGAGTCCAAAATCCACCTTAACTAATTATATGTCACAATCTTAAGTATTACAAGATAGGAGCTTTTACAGGTTTCCCTTTTGAAATCGTCTTGAATTCTTTCGTGGAACCGCGCAGGCCACAGCTATTAAGATGGCCGAATGGTTATCGCATGAGCGCTGTATCAAAAGGTCTGTCATTGAGTCAACTGGTGTGGGTTCGATTCTCCGGTTGTACGTGATAAGGAGTATAGGGTCACCCGTCCAGCCTCGTGGGTTTTCTCCCGGTCCTTCGGTTTCCCCCCACTGTTAAAGACCCCTACGAGTAATTGAAATGAAATTGAACCACATGTTAGTCCCGAAATGACCTAGTTTGTGTCGAGTGGACGTTAATCTCTCTCTCTCTCCCCCTCTCTCTCATTCGCTCTATTTATTTACTCTAATGCTCATGGTGATGTAGTTATTTGAAACAGAGTATAGATATTGCACCACTACGGAGGCTGATATTTATATTTATATGTGATAACTTTGATCGGGGTAGGCTAGTCATGTGGATACATCGTGTTTTAAGCCTTAAATAAGTCTTTGAAGAGGACTGGGTTCTAATCCCCAGAAGATCCATTGGCGCAATCCTTACCCTGAATTTTTATTATTATTTGTGAACGCTTTACATTATGAAATGCAAATTGCAGCTATTGTTTTAACAGCACACACTTGGTTATTAATTCTGTTTTGAAATTACCCGGAAAGAAGTTCAATGAAGAGGTCCAGTTCACCTTGCGTGCACGTAGACAAATCCTTAATTGGAATGAAATGAAATGGGGTTTAACATCCTACTGTTCTGCTTCGACTGGGCTAATGAAGACGGGCATATTATGCCATGCAGCGCTCAATGACTATGAGGGAATTTTGCACCGACTTTATTGAAGACGGGCATGCGCCATAGGCCTACAGTGTGATATAAGGGAAATTTTGTTCGGACAGCTTCGCTACGGCCTATACTCTTATATCGAATTCCAACTGCCAAGGGATCTTTTACGTGCACGGCAATGTCTGGGACCCCAGTTTTTCCTCACTTCCGAACAACTTGACAGCCTCCGCCCGGCCTAAAATCATTAATTAACACTGTTGTAATTTAGTTGGGTGGCCGAGTAACGATTTTGCCAAATCATCCAACCCCACTGGTTTTCTCCCGGTTACCAGATTGTGACTCATCCACAGCTACAGCGCGAATTTTTTAAATTGAGATATACCAGAAGGACCCTATAGACGCTACCAGATTATATCGAGTTTGTATCCTGGCATGGATCAAGACGAAACCACTCGATTATCTTATTCTATCCCTGCATTGGCCGAGAAAGTTCATCGGGTTTTTCCAACGTGGTTTCCCTTTGTCAGTGGTGTGACGAAAAACCGAGGTCCCGTGTGTACATTGGCGTGCATGTAAAAGACCCCTTGGCAGTTGGAATTCGATAAAAGATTAGGCCATTATATATAGTGCCACTGCCCCGACAAAATTTCCATCATAGCACAATGTATAGCGTATGTCCGTCTTCATTAGAGGAGCAGAACAGTAGGACGTTAAACCCCATTTCGTTTCATTTCATTTCTCAATTATCAGGGGTTGCGCCTGCGGGGCGATCGTATGGCAAT